TTTGTCTAGTCTGAACAGGCTACCACTTGCCCTCTTCTAGCAAGCCTCCCCGCCTGGCATCCCTCCCCTCCTGGCATCCCTGCAATTGATTACTGTTTGCTCATCTGAGCACAAACACGAGCCATCATCCATAAAATGTAATTTATAAGAGGAGATACCTGGATCATTGATGCAAGGTGAACCCATCTCCTCCTATTCCTCCCATGAAGATGAGTTATTAAACCATTTGTGATGGGTCATGCTATCTTCAAATTTGTAAATATTGCAGAATAATCTGATAATGGCTACTTTAGACTCTGAAGTTTATATAAAACAGGAGACGGGTGCAAGAGTGGACAGGTGGGTGAATGTGAAAGATAAAAAAGTATTTTTTTATCCATAATCTACATGTACTGTACATCCAGGTTGGTGTAGTATTTCTGCAAGTTGGTACAAGTTTAACAAACATTAAATATCGAATGTACAGTAAATTAATGTCAACCCACATTGTAAATAATTGAGGCTTCCTAGCATATTTTGTGTGTGTATGGTTCTATTTTAGAAATTCAAAAGAAAAAAAATAAGATTTTCTCTCATTTCTTTGCAAGATATTTTCTGTATTACCTCTTTTCCTATGTACATTACTTCTTTTTCTATGTACATTACTGTACTCTATGGGCGCGTTCATGCTTGATTTTGACGGCCAGAATCAGGCATCTGTTACGCGTTTAGTTTAAAACACGCTTGCGTTCATGCTCACTTTTGTAGAATCACCGAAAAACGATCGTAAACTCCCAAAAAGATGCGTTTACAATTTGTAAACGCGTTTAAATGGGGTCAACGCACTGACCTCTAGTGGGTCTACGTAGCATGCGCACACAGGTTTGCGAATCCAGCTGAAGGCCACCCAAGGAGAATTGCCTGGAGAAGTGAGCATGAACAGTGCACCGTGGAACTGCGATTACGATGAGCGTTTACGATGAGCGTTACAAATCGCTCATTCTGCCTTCAAAATCAAGCATGAACGCGCCCTATGTCTCCTACTACATATGCATGTGTAGTTGTGTACTAAGTAAAGCACAAGTCCGAAGAAGAATATGTTTCTTGAATCAAAGTAAACAGTCTAAACACGAAGTTGAGTACTGACGCAAAAGCACTTTATTGAAGGGAAAGAGCCAGGTGGTACACTGAGTACACTTCATTTGAAAAAGTTTTATTCATTTATGACCAGAAACAATGTTTATCACATCATTGAGTCACCAAGTTTCTAGGGTTAATACAATATGGGATTCTTCTGCAACGTGTTACAGACTGCATGTGAATTGCCTGTGAAGCACTGTGGAAGAATATTTAATTTAGATTGTATTTTGTAAGATGTTTTGTAGGATATTAAGTCTCCTTGGAGCCAGAAGGGCAGATAATTTTATACAAAATTAACACCATTCTGGCTCCAAACAGATTATTATGTAATTTGCTAGGCCTATATATATACAATGTAGTGTCTTTAAGTTGAGTCTTGATTATTAAAGAAGTAATCATCCATTAAGGTTGTACATGTAGTGTCTCTGAATATATTCTGTTTTGGAAGGTTGACAGCTTTTGTTAAAGGTTCTTGATACTTCACATGATGTAAATGTACTGGTTACAGGCTTATATGTATGTCTTAAGACTTCAAGGTATGTGTCAAATTTATTTCGGGGTCATTACCTGACAGTTTATTTATATTCACAAGGTTGAAATATGAATACTTTCATTGACTGAACAAATCTGGATGTAAATATACACTGCTAACATGCGAGAAATTTCAAATATTGGCTTGTCATCTTTCCTTGAATCACTTGTAAGTTGACTGCCTGCGCTGTAGCTATATGACTAGGGTATGCAGTGTCTTGTGACTCATGCCTGACAGCACACTTATGTGTCATGTATACTTTCGCTTCATGAGATCCAATCTCTATTAGTCTTCCCTCCAGTCTTACTCTGCCTGTGTTGTACATGTACGTTCAGTCTTGTACCTTTAATACATTACGAAATAATTGTAGAAGAATGGATGTCATTGGATAATGGAGAAAACATGTGGAGACAAAAGTGAATATATTATTGTTATAATTCAGATGGGACTGGTGTACTTTTTTGTAGAATCCTAAGAGGACTAAAGAAGCCTTAAATAATGAAAGGATACCATACCATAGCCTAAAGCCTAGAAAATATATCCTTGTTGGAAACCTGCTTGGAGGCTAGTGGTACTTATATATGTAAAGCTCCCTACATCATACATCTTTGTTTCTGTTTAGATAGGCCAGGTTAGAACTTATATTACAGTGTGTCAACTCACTGTCGTTTATTGCACTGGTGATTAGTGGACCAGAACACATCAATGATCTTGCTTTAATTTACTGATCAGGATAGATCAAGAAAAGTGACGTATTATAAACACTGAAATATTTTGGATCTAGTTCTTGATTTGATTGGATACCAGAGATCGTCATACAATCTTCCAGACTAAGGAATGCTTGTTTCCTGATTGAGATTAAAGGATATTCAGAGAATGATCTCCTAAAAAGTTAAATGTCAACATAATTTGTAAGTGATACAGGAATACTACATGTATGTTGTGTTTGGAACTTACTTGATAAAGTTTAGAAGGTAGGAGTGACAGTTTTTATAGGCCATAACTTTTGTAGTAGACCTAAATGTGTATATTGAACTATTTTCTGTGTTTTAGAATTCTTAATCTTTAACATACCACTACATGTACAGGTACATGTACATTCATTTTTAATTACAAAAATACTTTTTGCAAAACAAAACATAAATATATTGTATGTAATTTTTTTGTTTATTTACTCTGAAGGATGGATGTAATAGTAGATAAACAATAACCCTATGTTATTTTCGGGAAATTTGAGGGATATATATATATATATATATACCTTTTTTGTGAAGAGGAAGAAACGGGGGAAAGGCTATAAACAGCATTCACTTAGCATTGCAATATTCAAAGAACAGAAAGTAAAACTAAGATGAATAGACACTTGTCCAGATTTGAATCACACTATCATAACCAGGAAATCATTGCTGGCATACTTTTTCGTCTATCATACGGAAGTACATGGATGTACATGTACATGACCAGAGAGTATAAATATGGAGATAAAAGAATCTTCTCTTTTGCTTTGAAGTGGTACTTTGAGATTTATGGCATACATTTTTATTGCAATGCTTTTTCAGAAATGTTGAAAGCGCAACTCTGAAAAAGAAGCTTATCAAATTTGTTTAAATTTGATGCCTTGATAGTTTGATCTGATTTACATGTACACCTGTAGCGTAGGGGGATTCCCACCGAATGCCCTCAAATTTACAATGTAGTCTACTCAAAGACCTATTTCACAGACCTGTCTGTGTTCTACTTGCCACTTCCTGATCTCTTGGAAATACGACAGTAGGGGCATTAAAACTGCAAGCAAAAATCATCAGTTTTTCTCACATTCCAAAGTTTTGTTTGAAATTGCTAGGCAACTAACGATAAACACAACGCAAATCCTGAATAAAAAAAAACACCTCGATTGTGATTTTCCAAAAGTGTCAATAGTAGTTTAAAAAAAGAAATGATGTTTTTTTCTAATGGGTTTTCTGCCATGTAAATGGGCTTACCAATAAAGCTTTCTTTCAGAAAGTCTCAACTGAATGAAAGGAAAGGTCATAAGATCTCAAAAGTGATCAGGTTCATACCTTTTTCATGCCTTCATCAAGGTTACAGTGTCATTAAAAAAGGTATTGCATGGATGAAAGTAAATCTTTATGCATAAAATGTTGATTACCTGAAAAAAATCAGCTACTTCCATACAAAATATGTAACTTAATCAATTCTCAAGTCTCATTTTGACAGCAAAATCTTTCCTCTTTGAATCTTTGCATCCCCTATAAGATGGGTTGATGTTGATTCCTTAATACCACAGGATTTTTTGAGAGCATATAATGTCAGATGATAGTATAGTGTGGGAAGGTCTTGCGAGATTGAGATCAAGTGATAGTATACTGCAATGAGTCACAAATCAAATGAATTATTCATGTCAACTTGTGGTGAAGATTCGTTATTACACTGGTGGAACATGGGAGATGCTGAACTGAGCTCCACAAACTTGACAATTTTCTTCTTTTCTTCCCCCCTTTTGTTGCTAAACCTTATTGAACCGACATGTAATCAGTGATTATATATTTGCAATATTTTTGATTGAAACCTAAATCCTTGACTGAGATAATGACTTTATCAGTCTGTGATAAAGATATGTTGACAATATGGGAGTATCAATTTTAACCAGATTCCCACTGATGTCTAATCTCCACAAACTCAGTCACTCCCACCCCCTTCCTCCTGTATGTAAACCTATAATGGTGGACTTATGAGGATATATCAAACATGTAATGTATTTCAAGATACAATATCTCAAAACAAATATCTGTACACTACAAATACGAGACTTATTACCATTCAGTTTGATGCATCTGATTGACTTAAACAACAACAACAACAACAAATTGTGCAGGGAGATAATCTACTTAAATATAAATTTTTTACATGCACATATACATGTAATACTGTTTTTATTGTGTAAATGATGTTTTTCTGATGTTTACTGAACCTAACAGAAATGTGCGCTGTATACCATACAACTGGAGGGTGTCAAGCATGACTGGATGGGTGCCTGCTCAGCAGAATAAATAAAACAAAATCAAAATAAAAGTTTTTGTCAATTTAATATTGTGCTCTGGCAGGTGGGATAAGGTAATGAATAGATAGCATAAATTGTTGAAATACTGGAAATTTCTTTTCATGGATTTTATGATTTCAGGACAGAATTGAACATGTATGTGTAGTATGAAACTGTCATGCAATGAGAATAATGCAATCTAGTACTTGCTTTGAATTAAAATAATTTTATATCTTCTTAATTTGTTACCTTGCAGGTTTGTAACTAGCTCCCCTTTTCATCCAGTGCTGCCACTGTAGTCGCCTAGTGATGGCGCTGCTTTCGTTGAAGGTGCACATCGTCCAGGCAAACAGCACCAAGACTATTCAATTCAACCCCACCGATAGTGTCTATGATGTTTGCCGTACCATCAGGGAAAAGAGCACCGAAGCTAAAGACCAGTCGGGCAACCGTGAGTTACATTTTTTGACAAAACCGCCTAGTTTTTAGCTCAGTTTCGGTCATAAAGATGAAATCTGGAATGAACAGCAGTTTATTTTTAAAAGTTTTAGAAATTGTTTAAAATGGGTTAGAAATTATATAGTCATGTTTGAGTTTATGTAATGAATGGCTAAGTAGTAATCTTTTTAAAATTGGAACTACATTTATTTTTGATCTTGTACATTGGCTCCAACTCTGAATAGACTGCACTATGACTCAAGCATTTGTAGATCCAGTTTCCAATTTCAGAGTTTCACTTTTGTATTTGACCAATACTTCCTTCAATTTCACTGCCTTGGAAGTGGTGGTTTCTGTACAAAAGGAGAAATACTACCAGGTAGTTGTTATTTTTTGTTGATTATTGTTAATATATATGTCATGGTTTATTTTTCTCAATATTTAATTTCCGTGTTCTATTCTCCCACAGCAAATGAATTTGGTCTGTTCTTAGCTGATGAAGATCCAAAGAAAGGAGTATGGCTCGAACCAAACAAGACACTAGAGCACTACATGCTGAGAAATGGGGTAAATAAACATTTTTTTTTTAACTTTGTCACAAAAAAGAAGAAATGCCTGAATTTTTTTTCATTTACAGATTCATAACTCAGGGATGGTATTCTGAAAACTGATAAGTATTTTTTCTTTTTTTTATTGATGAGAAGTATGTTGAATGTCATAAGTTTTAATTCATGGGTAATGATACTTATTATTGGTGTTTGTGTACATGTAGAAGTCTCTTTCATCTTCTCTCTCATCTTCACATCAGCTGTGCACATGCATTTACCAATGACTTGGCCTAATTTAGACTTGTTATATTCTTAGGTTGTCCTTTTGACAAAATTTTCTTTAAATGTTTCTATGATTAAAGTACTAGACTAGAGGATATAAAATGCCATCTAGTTTGTTGATAATGTTAGATAATTTACTATGACAAAAATATCCAAATTTGTCATAAAGGAATTATTTAACACAAACCGAAATAAGTTGTGCAGAATGTGACTGTACAACTCTCACTGTTGCCAATGCCACGTGCAGACTATGTAGACATTACCCCCCCCCCCCCCCCTCCCACCGCTACCTACAAAGAACATGATTACTATCGTACAATATACAAATTGACATATGTAGCCTCTTACTTTCACTCCTCATTGTACAGTTGTGTGTAACATAATCTTTGCTGGTAGAGACTTGGGTTAATATGGGTTCCCCATTACGTATGTTGTAAACATGTATTGCGGTTTTCCTACATGTACACTGTTATCATGTTTGTGATTGTATCACATTTTTGTTTTTGAAATCCAAAACTTGTTTGCTCAAACCCTTTGAGGTAGAACAGACACAACTATGTCAAAAGTCAAAACCCCTTTTGAAAACATGTACATGTAGGGCTGGCAAATGTTCAAGAACAGAGTATTACTTGTCTTTAAGTGGTGATTTGCCAAACAGTAGTGTGATATAAAGGCAGGAAATGGGAATATATGCCAATTAGTACTTTCTGGTTAAAAACCTTTGGCTTGGAAAAGAGTTTTGACATTGTGGGCATTGTTTCTGATACCTTCTGTGATGCAAATATGCACATTTGTACTTTTACAAATAACTTATCTTATGTTCTAGAATTCTCAAATTTTACAGCAATTGATATTTAAGAATGTTAAAGGGATTAGGTAACTTTGTCTTAGATTCTGAAACAAAGTTCTGGATTTAGCTCATGCTGCAATGATAATTATAAACCTTTAGGTCAGTCAGGAACCCCATGAATGTTATAAGCCGATCGCCTGTCTGGTTATCAAGATATTTATGATTGGAAATTGAAATCAAATTTTGTGTTTTCCTATTAATCACTACAGTTTATTGGGGGAAATCAAGTATGGTAAAACCGGTCACTCAAAGATGATTTGTATGGCGCGCAATCGTCGGTTTTCTTAACTTTTTAGTAAGATAATTCTGAATTATAATTGAGACTATCTAATTAATTAAAGCGACAAACTAACCTCGGTAGATCTCTAATAAGCTTGTTTATTCTCTCCATTTGGCAGTACGATAGGGGTAAGAGCGGATATATGGCCACAGCTTGGTTATGGCAGGATTATATTAGTGCCAACTCACTGCATGCAAGCTAAAGATGGCCATTCAGGTTTCTGTATGCATGCGAAGCTCCCTCTAGTGTCTAATGAGTGTGCTAATCTGCCTAAAAATCGATGAAGATTTGCTAAATTACGATCATTTTTTAGGTAAACTTCCTGTAAATTTATTAAATGATTGATAATTTTGGTATTATTTTGTAGGAAAAATAGAGTTCTACGAGAAAATTACGATTATTTTCTTAGGTCCGTTTTTTTTTTTCCTTTTTATTTTTTCTCTCTACGAAATGTCAAAGTTTGGGGTGCGGCCTATGCGGCGGTGCGGCCTTATCGCCGGCAAATACGGTACCTCACCTGTTCATGTACAAATAAATGTCACACATAGGTGAAATGTTTGTAGGTTACCATAACTGTTTCCACATGCATCTTGTAAGGTGGGGAATATCACAGAGCTGACTTTCTGCAGAAAAACCCCACTAGATTGTTTTTGACAAGAAAACCCAACCCCCACGGCTGTAAACTTGGGAGAATGGAATATTTGGCAGCGGCTGACATTGTCTGTGAATAGGAGTGAGGTCAAGTTAGGTCAGATTCTCAGGGAGGTTAGCTGTGCTGCTTCTCCCTAATGTAGGAACTCTTCCTTGTATTGCTTCATAAGGGAACTTGACATGTACATGTTATGTACAATTGTTTACATGATTATTTTTGTCATATTTTGTTCTTCTCACAGTTTAATATGAAAATATTTAAAAAATATATAAAATCTTTTGAATGAGGAGTGATACATAATCTTTTCATATTATCAAGTTAAGGTGAACCATCTGAGAACTAAATCATAAATATTTTATACTACTCACTCCTAGATCCTAATGAAATAATTGGTCAAAGATGGTTACATGTGATTCATTTACTGAGACTGTCCTTTATTTTTCATGAAAAAGCTTGCAGTAGTTTCCAGTTCTATCCAGTCATTTTTTAGTATGCCATATGCTGCAGTGGATTTATTTGTCAGCCATAATGACACAAAAGAATCGTGAAATGAATTTTTGTTTACATGAAATAACAATGATATAGGAGTCTTACTGTATAAAACAAATGTATGTTTTCATCATTCATTTAAAGATCTACAGCATCTGCTTTTGATGATGCCTACATGAACTCATTTGCATGCATCATTAGTATTAGTATCTGAACAGAAACCATAAATATATATTATGTGAAAATATGTAAATACTTAATTTTAGAAATAGATTCATCCAAACAATGTTTCTTTGTCAATTGATATTTTATTGTCAACACTGCTATGGGGATTTTGATAAAGAAACACTTGATTATCCACCTGTCTATGAAATCAGCTTATTCTTGAGTTATTTTAGAATGACATTGGAAATGGGGATCACACAAAGGCAATATTTGATGTGATTCAGAGCATGATAATTCAAGCCATAAAGAATCAGGGGAAAGATAGAAAAGGTGGAATTGTGAAATTTAATGGAATTTTTATGGGGGAATTCCAATAGTGCAATAGTTTGTCCCTCCCTGTGTCTGTTGTTTTCATGATGGTATTTAGGGATCACATTTTGACTCCATTCAAATCAATCTTCCAACCAGATTGTGATATCAAATTGACTGGTGTGATGCACTCTTCACTTTGAACTTTAAAGGCAAGGCCGTTGGGATATTATATGCACAGATGTACCGATATTGCCCATAGAATTTGTGCTCGCATCATAGAATATATTTATGACTTATTTTTCACCTCAGTGGAAGTTACTCAAGTTAAGCACCTACATACATTTTTCATTACCACATAACATAATTGAAGAAAAAAAACAATTAAAACCAAAGTAATTTGAGATGGTAATTGTCTCAATAATTTCAAACCATGAATATATGAAGATTAATCCTCCATGATTCTAGAGGCATTCTACACATACATGTTGTCTCTATTACCCTCCATATTGACTTATTGTATGATTCCAATGATCCATTCAAGCAGGCTTAAAGGGATCGTTTAACAATGTTAAATCTGATATACATGGCCCTACGTGTTATCAGTGTCTGTGATATGGTATAATATTGAAGCCCAAAAAAAATTGCGCTTCAAAATGATCAAGAAGTGCCTCAAAAAAGTAAAAATCATTGAGTGACCGGTTTTACCATACTCGTTTTCCCCAATAGACTGTAGTGTTATGAAAACCGTCAGGCGAACGGTTTTCAAAATTTATAATTTCAATCATAAATATCTTGATAATCAGACAGGCGATCGGCTTGTAAAAGTCATGGGGTTCCTGACTGACCTAAAGGTTTATAATTATCATTGCATCATGAGCTAAATCCAGAATTTTGTTTCAGAATCTGAGACAAAGTTACCGGATCCCTTTAATGCCCTAATAGGAATATTGGGTGGCATTTGAAGTTTGGAAATTAGAAATTAAAAATTGGGAAAACATTTTGGACCTAATTTTCATTCCCAGGAATGATGCAAACCCTATTCATTTGTGGCGAAGAAAAGAAATAAAAAGCTTCTGCAATTCCGCATCATTTTTGGGTGATGAAATTAGGTCAAAGATGACTTTTCATTTCTAATTTGTGCTTCTTTACTAGTTTATATTCACCCTGCTTGATGGTAATAATGTGTACATTCACCAAAGATCATGGATACTACATGTAGAACTGAATCAGGAAAACTTGTCAAGTTGGTGCGAGTATGCTCAACCTTGTATTATAGTGTAGGGTAATGTACCTTTAACAATTGGATAGTGTGAGAGGGGATCTTTCAGAGTGATTTCAATGCAATATTGTCCTTTTCAAGATCATTCAGATCTTCTCTTGAAAGCAATAGGCTTCAAGTCTCTTAAGTAAACACATTCAAGGAACTTGTACATGTACATATTAAAGCCCCATCCCAGTTCCTACAGTGTATTAGCGGAGTGGTTCTTCTGTGTTTAATAAAAAAAAATATCCAAAGAATATTTGCTTGACGTACTCGTTTCGCTGCATCTTTTTATAACAAGGATTATTTTACTAAATTCATTAAGCAGAATCTTTAAAAAAATACATGTCTAATGCAGAGTACTTTGATAAACGTGTATTTAGGAACAGTGACAGTAAATTAATGCAGATTTGTGAAAGGTAATGCGCATTTATATAAATCAAAATTGTTTAGTAAAGATTGTAAATGTACATTATTTGAAAAAATATTTGAACTTATTTTGGAATGGAACATAAAAACAAAGGTTCAGGTGGAATTTTTTAATTTGTTAGTTTATAAGGTGGATAATGGTGTGTTTTAAAGACATGAAAAATTGATGAGATACTAGGCTTTACATTGTGCATGTACCGGTATGTATTCAAAATTGAATACAGACATATAAATACAACTTTTGCTTTGCGGCAAATAGTCCCATTATATAGATTAAATTTTGTTACAATTTTTACAAACATTACCTTCAATATATATAAAGACACAACATACACTGTTACAGTGGAAAAATATTTCATACATCTACGTGAACATATAGGCCTATGGTATACTCTTCATCCAGTCTGTCCAACCAAGTCCTTGACTTTTTACTTGCATTTTGAACGGTGGAAATTCTATTTTGTTTAATCCAAATATATTGATTCTTAGTAACCTTGTAGCCCTATAGTGTAGAAATTCATGTGACATATACTGTAGCTACTGACCTCACAGTAGGCTCTCAGTGCACAATTCAATTATATTGGGTTGTACAGGGTCGGCCTACATCATAGATTGTGCATACAGGCCGAGTGAGTCAGTGACATACCATGCTTGCGCCTGGTACGCCTGGTATGTCAATCGTTGCTACAGGGGTAAGGCGAAACCTTGGTCCAGAAGGAGAGGATAGTGGGAGGATAGTGGAAGTATAGTAGGTAGGAGGAAGATGATGCTATCCCAAAATTGGTCTAACTTCCAGGAATGGATGCAGAAAATAGGTTAGGATATGTTTGTCAACATAAGGGATGATGTTATAGATCAAGTGTATTTATATAAAGTGCAAATAAAAAGAAAACATAAACATATAACAACAATATATACATCATCATGTTAACACACTGTATTTAAACACAAAATAAACAAAACATAGATATGACAGTTTTATACAAATTGATGGTCAAAATCCGGAATTATTATTTTTTTTTTTTTTAACATGGCCTTAAAAATGCCTAAATTTTGTCAAACCAAACAGAAAAAATATGAGGAATAATAATAACACCTTATCATAATTTGATATTTTGTAAGCAGATAAAATTAAACAAGAATAACAGCAACAAAATGTCAATAGATTTGCGATAATTTTATGTATTTCCATGCATGTTGAAAATTCTGATATTGCACAAGCCTGTCACGGAACGACACCCGTGCTCCTGGATGTTAGACTACCGGTCCTATGATAATATTAGTAGCATGATAGGTCATGTAGTTTGATTCCATGGTCATGTGTCATTGACCGGATGAAGATATTTATAGTGAACAAGTAAGGGACAGTAAGAAGACTTGCACAAATGTATATCAGTACTTTTATTTCTCAAGACCTTTCATTTTCGTCTTTTTTTTCCATTCTTTTGTTTAGATCTAATTTCTGCACATACAGTATGCTTCTCCCTTTTCCCCCTCTTTTTAAAACAAAACCCTTAACTTAAACTTTGATTTGTAACAGAATTTTAATTTACATCGGCCCTAGAATATGTTTTTTTTTTAAATTTCAAATTTATTTATTTATTTATTTGTATTTATTTATTTTTTTATTTTTTTATTTTTTATTTTATTTATTTATTTATTTTTTATTTATTTATTTATTTATTTATTTTTTTTTGGGGGGGGGATTAGGGACGGTTTCAGGAAATTTAAAGGGCCTTGAGTCCAGAAGACCTTTCTACATATTGTAAGTTCATATAAAGATTGAAATACTGCCATACCTTACATGATAAAATCTGCCCAGTACAATCCCATTTCCATCCGGAAAGTAGGATTCATTTGATTAACCTTCTAAACTGTAGCTTGTTCTGTAACAAAACAATGTGGTTTACAAACTAACTCAACAAATTTGTTTTTGTGAGTATAGTCTACAAACACCACAACTTCCTTTCATATAACCTACATGTAAGCCTATACATGGTGTAATGTTTGTTTTATGTGTATCCATTACACTTATTTACACATTTTTATAATCTATGAAAGTTGAAGATGAAACTTTATCCTCAGAGGCTATATATTGTACAGTAACCTTATATCGTAGAAAGAAACTTCCTGCTTCTGTGGTTTATCTTGGTCCTTTTACTGTGAAATACAAGGTTTGCACGTCGTCGTCATAGTTTCTGTATACATTTACTATCAATGGGGTTGACTTGACATATATTTAGAAAAAAATAACATACCTGTAGTTTTATTCTTTATTATTCAGTTTGTTTTTGACCAATTTTAGTCCTGTCATATACTGAAATATGTGGAAACAAATGTTTTGAGGTGTTGATTGGTGGGGGGGGGGGGCAGGAGGAGGGGCTACCTCACCCACGGATTCTGTGGTGTGTTGACAGCAGGAAGTGGATTGTCACCTTAAACTTCTGTTACGGCATGCCTGCAGTTTTGTCTGATGTTGTGAAATCTACATTTTCCTGGTTCATCTACTATGCTTCGAACTGTTGTGAACAAAGGATATAATCACTAACATTGAAGAAAAAAACTGTGCAATTTTATATCAAAATGTATATCTATGATCTAATAATCTAGTCACTTATTCCAAGGTGAACTGTTGTTGACTCTGTTCCCAAAGTATACAGAATACAATGCATTATTGCTTCTAATAAATTATTCATCATATGAGTGGAATATCAAATATGTAATGGCCAGTTTTAGGAGGCCACAGTTGGAAGTAACTGTAAACTGTATGGCCCGATTTAAGCAAAGGAGGTTTGTCAACAAACCTTGGTTTTCGTACGTCATATGACACGTTTTACGCGTTTTTTACAAACCTGGTTTGTAAAGAACAAAAGGAGGTTTGGCGAAACAAAAGGAGGTTTGAGCTCAAACCTTGGTCTTAGCTCAAACCTTGCTTTGTGAATTTGGGCCAATGTGTACATAACTGCAAGATGGTCCCATATTACCATAAGTATAGTATAAAAATAAAACATACCTTTCAAATAATTCAATGTTTACAGACTATTTGTTTACTTGTATTAAATTTGATTGTAGTGGTTATGAAATGACATTCCTTTGTAGAAATAATAGTTAATACAGTAGTAGCTACCCCTTCTCATATACATGTACATTGTAGGTTTCCATGATGGAGTAGTATGATAACTTAGTATATTATTCTAATGTACAGTAGCTTTTTATTTTCGTCAATTGGTTGAATCATTGACTATAATATATGATAATATAAATAATTTAAAAGTTACAAACAGTGGCATAATGAGATAGATAGAGGGAGGGATGAATAGAGAGAGAGAGAGAGAAAAAAAAAGAGAGAGCAGATATGAGGGTACCTCATGACTATTCATCAATAATTCACGGTTAATTTAAGTTGTTAGTGTCCTGTCCCCAAATCAAATTATTCATCTACTATATATGTAAGTGTCACTTATATTCTCACTTTCATATATTTCTTTTCAGGATGTCTTGGAATACAGGAAGAAGATCCGCCCCCTCAGGATTAAAATGTTGGATGGATCCGCAAAAACTATGCTGGTAAGTATGATGTATTTGAATGATACATCAACTAATGTGTGCTCAGTCTGCACAGAAAGTTTAAGAAGGCCTAACATAGTCTCTCTGATTAATCTGTCAAGGATAGAATCTATATTATAAGTACTGGTGATCAGTTCTGCCATGCTTGAAAATGTCATGATATATATCTCTTCAAGCAGGGGTGGTAATCTTATTTTGTGATTTCCAAAAAAGATCATAACTTCATTCAGGGAAATCTGAAATCATTAGTTCAGAGCCAGAAGGGCGTTGACTCATATGCTTTTACAAAGAGTTAAGTCAGTTAAAGCCCTTCTGGCTCTCAGATGATATTCTCCAGCGACAATTGCTCTGAACTTGACCCTTTTATTTCACCACAAGATACATTGTGAGGGTTAAGTATACTACATAGAGTTGTGGAGTAAGGAATTTTGCAATTTTTAAGGAAATAAATGGGGAGCAATCAACCCTGGAGCGTGTGACATACAATAATATTTAGTTTGGGTGTAAAAGACATTGAAAGTGTTAAAAAAATATACAGTGTACTTTATTGACCCTATCCTGGCAACATCCAAAGCAGTGTTTACAAGTTAAAATCACTTTATTCTACAGTTATGAAAATAATCAAATAAAATCAATGTAGTCTGTGGATCACACACTGTAGTACTTATTCTGTCTGCAATTTCAATTTTTGCATACTGGAGGTCCCACAAATCAATAATGATTTTTTGCCAAAAGTGCACAGACAGTGTTGTTATTCATTATACTTAATTGGTTCATTTTAATTAAAAAGGAGGAGGAGCCTAAATTAATAGCACAGGAGTTAATAGGTTGCTAATAGAGTTTCCAGAGCACCACTTTGGAATTCCATTAGGGTCTTTTAACTGTACCCTGTCCCATATTAGAATTCCATACTGATAGCACACATGTATGATGTCTAATAGGGTACTGTATATGCTATTGGTGAATTCGTTCTACAGGCAGAATTATTACATGCCTGTCTATAAGAAGAAAAAAAAGAGCCAATTATTACATGCCTGTCTATAAGAAGAAAAAAAAGAGCCAATTTGACTTATGTTGCTTTTATGCTACATTCCTTTTAATATCAAACATGATGAAAATGGGAGCAAACATGTGTGTTTAGGTAATCTTCAGTTTAATAGGAAAGTAATGCTCTGAATAAAAATTGCCCAGTCCTGTAGAATATATGTGTACATGTATGTATATTGATGTGCGTGCACACTTTCATGAATTTTACACATGTATCGATTAGTACCATAAATTATGCATAGTTTCTTTGACAAGTGAATTTTCCTCGGTATATACACAAATTTACTTGCTCCAATTCACAATAATTTTACACTCAGTTTGTTCCCCTACATCACCCCTCCCCAGCTCCCCAGCAGTAGAGGAAAGAGAGAGGGAGAGGAAGGGAGGAAACCCTTCACAGTAATAGCAATAGTGCACCCTAAGAATAATGAGGTGTAGTAAACTACATGTATGTAGGAAAAGGAAATCACCAAGCATCTGTTATATCCTGTGATGCCAGGTTTAAATGGAAACTACCCAGCAGGAGCCTGTTAAGTTGAAACACAGTAAATTACTCTCACCCAGTAGGCAGACATTTTAACTAGCATACAACTGTGTACATGGAGGAATGGAAGCAAGCGATGATGTAATGACAGGGGGAAGGCCATCAGGGGGAGGATTGGTATTAAACAAGTTGTGATTTGAAGAAGAGTGATCTTTACAAATTACTTGTATCCATAATGTATAAAAAAGAGAAATAAAAAGATAAAGAAGATGGATGTTGAGAGAGAGAGAGAGAGAGAGAGAGAGAGAGAGAGGGGGGGGGGGGGGGGGGCAGAGATGTGGAAGTGAATGGTCTTCTCCAAAATCATTTTATTCAAAAACTGGTCATCCCATTTATGAAAAGTTTTACTTACGATTTATTACTCTTTTACAAAGCTTTCATGGATAATTTGGTAGAGAGTTTTGCTCTTTTCCATTGAAACATGTTTTCTTATATATCTTTATCGTGTTTTTCTCCTCTAGATTGATGATAGCAACACCGTGAGCCAGATGTTGATCACCATCTGCACAAAAGTTGGTGAGTGAAGATTATTAATTTGTACTCTATTCATATAACATACTTTCATTTCATAAAGGTTGAATCTTTATTGAACTTATGCACTTTCATCTATTATCTATCTCAAGGACCACCAGTCAAATTTCGTGAAGAGTGATGTTCAGTGTTTGTATGATTCAATATACTCTTATTTGTTGCTTGCAGAGAAATACATCATAAATATCCCTGACAACCACATGCATTAATGAATATCATTTGTCAAGGGCCTATCACACTAACGTAGCTATCGACTGAAGGTCTATTATCATTGTATACAGTAGCTATTATTTTGTAGTTATGACAATTTAATTTCATTTCTTTATTGAAACTCTTGTAGCTCAGGCTTGGAAGTAATATTGACGTTGAGTTAATGGATTAGAAAGGTATATCAATCCTGTATTCTATTGTTGTATTACAGGTGTAACAAACTTGGATGAGTATTCTTTGTGTCGTGATGTGGAAGAGGACTGGAAGAAGGATGGAGGAACCCTTGGAAGAAGTACACTCAAGAAGGTAACAATCCTCATGTCTTTCCTTGTGATGGTTACATGAGTTTGTATTTATGCTCCACAGACATTGCTGGTACAACCATGTATATTTTATTTTTTTCTGTCTTGCAAGGAGAATATAAAGGATTTCAGAATGGGATACAGATTTGTTTCATTGTTACAGTACATTTTGGAGATAAACATTCCTCTCGTGGGGCGAGAGTGTGTGTATATGTAATATCAATTAGAGATTTATACTCCTTGTAGAGATGCTGGAGTTTTGAAGAATTATTTGAAAGTTAAGTTTTGTTATCACTCTGTAGTTTTTATGACAAGGCTATAATGAGTGAGTGAGAAAATGAATTGGATTGTGAAATCAATGTTGGATTTAAAGTACCCCCAGTAGACTAATTGAGTCACTACCTAGCTTGCCTTAGGTAGATGCGCAGAGTCTTTGCCATGGAAATTACCAAATTATTCTCATTTCATCTTGATTTAATACACATGTAGGCATATACATGTACCATAGCTGCCAACCATTCTTTAGTTTGGAGGAAAGACTCCTATTCTTTGGCTTTCAAACTAATAATTTGAGCCCTAGAGTCCTCTCCTTGTTTTAAAACTTCTGTGTAAAAAGGATACAAAATTGACTGTATCGCCTTGAGAGATTCATTTTTGGCTGTGAAATGTTGGCAGGTATGATGTACATATATTACACATTTACACATCATAATGGGCACTATTACAACATACAGTGTAGTTTGGGAACAGGGTGTCATATATGTAAGGCCATTGTTTGTTATCTACCAGTATGTTTAATCTTCTCTACCCTTGCAGGAGAAGAAGAAAGATCCAGTGTCGGTCTTGAGAGATGAGAAGAAAATGGAAACGCTGAAGAGGAAGCTGCATACAGATGATGAGAGTGAGCAATACCTTCAAATTTATTTATTATTTAAACCAGAGAGTTAATTATGGATTGATTGGGAAAGCAAAAAAAAAAACAAGTGCCTACGGCTTGTACCAGATTGTAATTAAAATAGGAATCCCACATGATTAGAACCACATTTCATGAATCTTCAGTGAAATTGATTAGACTGTAGCTTAAGGTTAATAAAACAGTGGTCAGATTGGTTATTGGTTGCAATGGGAAACCTTATGGAAACTATGCCATTTGATATTTAAACAGATTGATAAAGAGAACATTCAGAGCTATTTGGTTGATTAACATTTGTAGAAATTAAAGGAAATTAGTGTTTTCTTTGTTCTAAATAAACTGTAGTTAATACTTTTACTTTTCATATAATGTGTTTTATAATTAATACAAATTCAATAAGGAAATAGCAAATCGCAACCATATTGACATGTACATGTATATATCAGTGGCAGAATAAAAGGTTTGTCAACATGGAATTTAAATATGATCCCATTTACAAGCTATGGAATGTTCTCTTTTTGGTAATTAAGATGGAACAACTTTAAACAGTATTGGAAGCCTAAATTCATTTCCTCCTTTTTAGGATACTGTGGTTAGGTTCATCAACCACCAACTAAACCAAAGGATATATATCATTTTCTATTAGGAAATGGCCTCTGTTTATTTATTTTCTAATTAGATCACTGATGCTCTCGCCCACATCCTTTTAAGCTGAGATCAAAGGATTGGTGTACATTAACTTAACAGGAAAATGATTGTTCGCATCATTACTCAGTAGAAACAATTGCTTTGCCCCTCATTCTGAATTATCTACACTCAATATGCTGTATGGATTTCTTATGTGTGAAATTAAAAATGACTCATAATGCAACATTAATCCTAACATGGTGTTATTTCCTTGACAGTGAATTGGCTTGATCATACAAGGACATTGAGAGAACAAGGTGTGGATGAGAACGAGTGCCTCATCTTCCGACGCAAGTACTTCTATTCTGATCAAAATGTAGACAAACGTGATCCGGTCCAACTCAACTTGCTCTATGTCCAGGTAAACAAAAACACCCCCACTAAAAAAGATATAAAAAATACAAAGAACATACAAACAAACAACCAAGAGAAATATTTCCAACTATTTTATTTATTCTCTCTATGACATGAGTATTGTTAGCTATATTTTAGAGGAATGAATGTTTAAAGGGATCCGGTAACTTTGTCTTAGATCCTTTAGAAATAATCCTTGATGTAGCTCATGCTGCAATGATAGTTATAAACCTTTAGGTCAGTCAGGAATTCCATGACTTTTACAAGCCGATCGCCTGTCTGATTATCAAGATATTTATGATTGGAATTACAAATTTTGAAAACCGTTCGGTGAACGGTTTTCATAACACTACAGTCTAATGGGGAAAACGAGTATGGTAAAACAGTCACTCAAAGATTTTTACTTTTTTGAGGCACTTCTTGATCATTTTGAAGCGCGATTTTTTTTTAGGGCTTCAATATTACACCACATCACAGACACTGGTAACATGTAGGACCGTGTATCTCAGATTTAACATTGTTAAACGATCCCTTTAAGGTGGCACTTATGACATTTTTCTTCTGTGTTATATGATTCGATTCAATAATAGCCTTTCGCTTTGTGGTTGCAGGAAACTTAAAATGTAATTTTTTACCACAATCAAATTCTTTTAACAGTGTGTATAATCTTGTGAGAAGTTTTTGAATACTTACTATAGCTGTGAGTCCTTTCCCAGAAAGCAAAATGATAATTATGAATGTACATTATGGCTTTATCATTCATGTATCCATATTTACTCTTAATTCATCCTTCATTATTAGATCAAATTCTTCTTTTCTTTTTTTTGTTCACTCGCATGATACTTTCTTGAATGTTCTGAACGGGTTTCACTTATTTCTTTTCTCATTTTTTTTCTTTCATGTTAATGTTATTATTACATGTTTTGCCGCTCCTAAGATGTAGAAAACTATGATTAATGTAGTTATTGACTTTGTGATTTATTTGTCTCATACTTCCATCCATATCCACCCTTGATTCATTCATCCACTGATCCACTCCCTCACCTCTGTCTTTGATTCATTCAGTCACGTGATGCTATCCTGAATGGGACCCACCCCTGCTCATTGGAAGAGGCGTGTCTCTTAGCAGGTACACAGTGTCAGATCCAATATGGTGATCACAATGAAGCCAAGCACAAGCCAGGTTTCTTGGAGTAAGTACTTATCCTCATCCAAATCAAATCCTTTGTATTCATAGAAATAGTTATTAGGGGCAATCAGGGGCAGTTCCCATTGGAGTTTCATGTTTAATCCAGGAAGTTGGGCGGAAAAAGAGAGGAAGCTGCAGATTGTGAAATTTGGCAAATGTTTTCTTTTGTCTTTTATTGGGGTTATAGGATTAGAATCAGTTGTTATTTGTAGCTTTGTCATATACTAAACATACATGTATACATGCATGTGAGCTCTTGGGAATGGTTAGGAGTAAGCAAAATGGAATCCACTTCAACCATTGCACATTGTCTATCATGAGCTTGAAGGGCATTCAAGTCTACACTAAAAGATACACAGTTATGCCTCAAGATCCTTCTAACCCTCAACAGATGAAATATTAAGTTTGCATAATGAAATTTCTCCACTAAAGGGAAACATGTCAACGTACTAAATATCATCAGGACATTGTTTTGCAAATTCAGTGAAGATGTGGCATTTTTAGAATGATTGGCTATGGTATTGGTTCTAATGCTAAACATTTCCCACCTCCAATTGTACACATGTTCAAGGATAGATCAACTAAGATTAGAACAGTAACATATGTACCCCAGGCAATTACATGTACATGCACATTCCATATGTTGACATTCTTTTGGTTGATTTATGTTCTGTATGATGATTGTTTCCATAGACTCAAGGACATGCTACCAAAGGAATATGTGAAGCTCAAAGCAGTGGAGAAAAGAGTATATATGGTAAGTACTGGTGGGTGGAGGATCACACATTAACATTTGCCTTATGACTGGAGAGGTTAGGTATATTCGCTAATTCCAAGGATGATTTGACCTTAGCAGTTTGCTCTGAAAGAAAGCAAAATACAGAGAAGCAGATTGGTGGCAATTTGAACAAAATCCAAGAACCATTAAGAACGTTAGGAAATGTTAAAATTGGTAATCACAATACATATATGTATGGGGATGTCAAATAAGCTGAATTTGTGATGTCATTGTGATGCAGTGGGAGACAACCCTCTCATCTGTTCCAATTGAATACAAAATGAATAAAATATTGCTTTTTCAAACATAAATGTAGGAATTCTTTCTTTTCAGAGAACCTACAACACTACTGACCTAGTTGAAAAGGCACTGAGGAGAAAATCCAAAATTAATCATATTTTCGTGTATAGCAAAGAGAAGAGCTGTCCATGAATAAATTAAATTTCAATCAATACCAGGATACCTATAGGTATACTGTATTTTGGACAGTTTCCCATTATTTAATATAGACCTTACAACATGTAGCACTTTCATGTATCGTTTGTTTCAATCACCCATTATTATATGTTGTCGTTCCTGTAATTTAATCCTGATATAGAGTTACTGTGAAATATAACAGGTTTAGTGATAATCTACGGTCTCTATCAGGAAATACTTTTTCAAAATAAGGGGAGTTAGGATGTCAATTGCTGTTTTTGATAATGTATCAACATTTTCTACCAAGCTGTTGAGAACATCAGTATGATACAGTAGATTAGTTGAGTAGACTTGGCAAGCCTTGATTGCTATGCTTTCATTATTGCCCTTCAGCTGACAAGTCTTTACTGAGTATGTGGTGTAGACTGTAATCTTAATGAAGGTTGTGGCAGATATCTTTGCCCAATGATAGGATGACATGCCAGAAGCTGTTGAAAGTATGCAGCTGTTGTCATTCAATGCTGCGGATGTTTGAGATGTCAGTGAAACATATGTCTTCAAACCACTTGTTTAGACAGGGATTGACCTTAAAGGAAAGAAAAAAACCACAACAACATTTCCCGTTTCTGCAATTTTTTTGAACTAGAATTCAATTCAAGTGATGAATGCTGCAATACATCTTTACAAAGAGTACTTCCCATGGTTGTTTTTCATTTGGTTGTTAATGAAGACCTTGAATGACCATTAAACAAGCAGTCAAGAGACTGTTGTAACTGGAAAAAAAACATCTGGAGGCAATGTCTCATGATACTACATTTTTTTAAAGAATGAATTGGTAGAAGAAAGAAATGAAAATTGATTTCACCCAATGTAAAAAACAAATTGAAAATTCGAGAGACATTTAGTAAATTTCTCTTAAGCTGTTTGGCATACTTTGATATTCATTACCGGGTATATTGGTTATGTTTACAAACTTAATTTGTCAACATGTTAATACTTTGTATTAAGCTCCCAAATTTAGTGCTCATCATGAGGTGAAATTTAAACAAAATGATAGTTATTGCATTCTCGATATGTGCTGTAAACACATAAATATATTCTTTGGAAAGTTGCATTGTTAAGCAATACTTTAATTCATTTTTGTGTTAAAGGTAAAGTTTAATTTTGTTCTTACAATTTTCTTTGATATAACAGGAACACAAAGAAATGATTGGAATGACTGAGCTGGATGCTAAAGTCAAATACACCCAGCACTGTCGATCGCTGAAGACATATGGTATCACCTTCTTCTTAGTTAAGGTTAGTAAATCCCAGACTCCTTGTGGCATTGATCGCTAAAGAGATGTGGTGTCCCCTTCAGCCTCATTCAGATATGACGCAGCAAAACCACATTGTTTTTTTTATGATCACATAAAATGCAGTCTGCTGCGCATTTCTTATAACACAAGTGAACACGCACAGTACGTTTGTTGCACACGGTTGCCATTCTTTTACACATTGAAAAGAAGACTTTTTGTGGGGGGGGGGGGGGGGAGGGTTCTCCGTCATATCAGAACAAGCATCTGTTTTTAGTTCCTTTTGATGTCTGCGGCATTGATCGCAAAAGAGATATAACATTGTGATATAACATCTCTGTGTGCTCCCAAATTACATTGTTATTATTGTCCCGGCTTCAGCTCAATACATGTATTAAGGGAATGAATCCTACCAGGTACTTACTTACTACCCTTTGGTGGAATATGGCAAATATAATAATAATGATAATATATATATTATATATCTAGCACATTTTACATATGCATGTTCAAACGTGCTTATTAATGCTGCAGCAGGGATTCGGACCCCGTACCCCGGTTAACAGTCTGGAGGCTTCCATCATCAATTTAGCAAACCTAATTGTGACATATTAAAATGGAATTATTTATTGAGAATATCAATTATATTTCTGTTGCAGGAAAAGATGAAAGGCAAGAATAAGCTGGTGCCCCGTCTTCTGGGTATCAACAGAGAGAGTGTGGTTCGTGTCGATGAAAAGACCAAGGAGGTCAGTAACCTTTTGTTATCTCATTATGTCTGTAGTGTGAGAAACATACCCATATGTCCCCCACACTATTGCGTACTCACCCAAGTAGTAGTAGTTGTATTCATATACATCTAGTGAACCTCTTGGTTCTTGTTTATATTTTAATAACAGAAAAGTTGATATTAGGTTATTTATATTCAGTACACTTGCATGAACATATCTCCATTTGACATAATTTATCAAAAGAAAACAATACATAATAATTACATAATAATGTTTTGGTAAGACCATTTTCTACAATTTCACTGTGAAACACCCCCCTGGCCTTTGACTTCTGTCCATCGTTGGGCTGCATCACCTACGACTGTCACTCTTGACTTTGAAGATTACTAATATGCACTTTTATATCTCTTGCCCTATCTATGCCTGCAGATTTTGAAGACCTGGCCTTTGACTACTGTCCGTCGTTGGGCTGCATCACCTAAAAGTTTCACTCTTGACTTTGGAGACTACTCTGACTCGTATTACTCTGTACAAACCACTGAAGGTGAGGCTATCGGAGCTCTCATTGCTGGCTACATTGATATCATCCTCAAGAAGGTACTATTCTTTATTTGTCTTAGATCTTACTTTTACTCATCACTGGCAGGAATTAATTCCTTGAAATGCTAGAGCGCTTTAATGGTAGCCGTGCTAAAGCCAGGGTAATAATCAGACAGACATGAGCGCTATACGAGAACCCACTATTATTATTATTATTTATCACAATCTACCCAGCATCTCTAAGCTAAAATGAATTTATGTTTCATCATACAAATAGAAAATGTTCAATTCAACCAAATGTGGGCTGTACATTTGCCTTCACTCTGTTGTGACATGCTCTGTAATTAGGTAAAGCCATCATAGTACTCAATAACATTGTTTAATTCAGAAATTGACTGTAAATACCTTGTGACAGTATTAAATAAATAGTGTTCATTCCTCTACCATGTGTGGATTATGCTCTGGTGACAATTGCTCTGCTGTTGATTTCTATTTGCAAGATAAAATTCTGTCTTTGATCCTGGACCCAACATTATTCCTAAGTCTTAACCGTACCCACATTCAACACAAACCCTAACCGTCTATGGAATTAAGTTTGGAGCAAACATCAGATCATTAGAATCTGCAAAATGTGTGGGTACATAAGCAATTACATATTTAGTTTTCTGTTATTTATAGTCATTCACTAGTCAGTTCTTTTCTTAACACCTGTAAATAATAAGGTTTAATCTCTCTTTTCATCAGCAAAAAGGCAAGGATCGCATGGGTCTTGATGGAGACGATGAATCTCTGCTGTTTGAGGAGAATGTGAGCGCTACTAGGGCCCGTATCATCCAACTTCAATCCAGCAACAAAGGTCACATGACAGAGGGATCTGTAGCTATGCCCGGCCTGATGAGACCAGGAGGAAATGGTAAATCAACTTTTATCTACTCACATTTGAGCCATCAAACTGTTCACCTTAATCAGTGGCTAAACCGTTAAAATACCTTAAAATATCTCTATAGCTCTAATTTAGTTAGTGGTAGATGTAATATTGAAGGCATTTCAAAGACTCTGATGCTCGCTCTTCGTGGAAGCTACCTTCGCAATAAAAGTTTTCTTTCATTGGTTCCTTACTTTAATATTGGTAAATACTTGGTGATTACATTAGTTCTCTCCAAGATTTTGAGCCGATAAATCTTGTTGATTTAAGGAGAATGTTTTACTTTGCTTCTCAGACATATTGATAAATAATAATGCTCAATTGCATCCTGAATGTTGGCTGGCAGTAATCATACAAAAGTAATCAAATGATTTAGTCTGAAAAGTTGGCTATGGGCGTGCTTGTAGGTTGTGTCCATACATGCATGTACATTGTACATGTAGATGACAAGGGTACAATTTGTTTCATTTTTTTTTGGGGGGGGGGAGGAGGGGAGGGGGGCTATTATTGTGTGGCTACTTGAAAAAGATACATAAGTATGTCCCTCTTACCTATATTTTTACATATGTTTCTTTTTTGTAAACCATAAATATCTGTTGAAAGATTGGATATGAATGTTTTGCTAAGTGAAGTGAATGATTTGTGAATTTTAAGACTGAATGAGGATCAGAATGAAACGATTATCAACTACTTGCAAAGACAACAAATACTTGTCTTACAAACACTTGATCACAATCACAACTGATTTGCAATTGATATCTACCGCAACTATGTACGTAAGAGATAGAAGATTGCAAACTTGCGATTCATTTGGATCAATCGCAACTCTTTGTATGACGGGGGGCTCTAGTGTTAGATAGGGATTGATCATTTATTTTTGGGCATGGTGAAGAATATTTCTATACCTTTGCACTGCATGTGTCTATTGTTGTTTTAATGAAAGATTCACCTTTGGTTTTTTTATTTTTATTAAGGAGGTTTACTCTTTCATATAAGTTAATTTGTAGGGAGATTTCAAGCTACAAAAAATATGAACAATATGCAAGAAAAAGCTTATGAAGGTGTTAGTGGAATAGTGGATACATGTAGATTAATACAAAATATCTTTATGATATTGCCTGTAAAGAAATATATATGTTAACTTTTTGCTCGAAAAAGAATATTTCTTTTCTTTTTGACAATTCAGATTAAATCTTACCATTCATCAAAATCAATTAAACTCTTTTAATCTAAATGAATAATAATACACAGAACACGTCGTTGAAAATGTGCATGAGCTATAGATGAGAGTGACCTGCCAAAATGTGACTTCAAAATACAATGATAGCATGAAAGGAAAGAGCTGCATCGTAACTTAAAATATAAGCACAATTTGTTCACTGTTGATAGCATGGATATATTCATATACTTGACAATATCAACAGTTTGCTATGTCTGGTGCAAGTTTTGTTTTGTTCAGTGACTGTGAATTAAAAACAGAAGGATCGTTTTGTACAGGGTTTAGCTCACACACCTTCATTCCCTCCAGGCTATATGCGTACGTGTACTTGTTTATATTGGTATCTTGGTCAGGGCAGGCAAACCTGGGAACTTGTAGCCAACCCTCTTCCATGTCTCTTCCTTCCCTTTGTACTGCTATTCATTTAATGTGGATGTGTTTGTTTCCTCAAGTTACCTTTGACCTTCAAATGATGGAAGACGATAAGTCTGCTTTTAAACGTCATGCAACTTTCTGTTTTCTATACTTCTTTCTATCTTCATCTATAATCGTGTGCATTGTCTAGTTACTTTATTACTCCAATCATATAATATACTTTCTTTAGTTTATTCTGACTCTGTCTGTCATGAACTTGTCTTTCTGTAAAGCTGGTAACTGGTCTCCATACCCCGTCCACATCTCTTTCTCTACCTCTTTTTTTACTTCCTACTTTTTGTCTCTCTTGTCTCACTCCCTCTTTCTCTCTTTATCTCTGTCTTCCTCTTTCCCTTTTGTCTTTCATATCATCTGTTTCTTTTACCCTGTCTCCGTTTGTCTGTCTCTCTGTGTGTTTCTCTCTTTTCTCTCTTCCTATATCTTTTCTTTTCTCTCTTCCTCCCTTTTTATTTCTCTCTTCCTCTGTGTCTCTGTCTCTTCCTGTCTCTGTCTGTCAGTCTGTGTGTGTGTGTGTGTGTGTGTGTGTGTGTCTCTCTCTCTCTCTATCTCTCCCTCCCTCTCCCCATCTCTCTCTCCCTCTCTCTCTCTCCCTCTCTCTCTCTCTCTCTTTCTCTCTCTCTCCCTCTCACACTCTCTCTCTCTCTCTCTTTCACTTTCATTCTCTTCTATATTACGTAAACTTTCCAGTCTCTTGTCACTCTCATCTATGACTCAGTCAAAGTGTTTCCTTCAAGGTGTGACAATCACTAGCGCCTTTGATTCAATATACATGTACATGTAAAGGCTGTTGATATGATGTCTATGTTTACGTATTTGTATGTTATGATTTTTAAAATCATATTAAATCTAGAATGATGTTGAAATGTTAATTTTATATCATTAGTGTAAAGCCTTGGAATCCTCTGTGGATAGTAATGTTTAATGTAGTACAAGAAGAGGATTGGAGCGCAGTTCTTATCATACATCCTTATACAGTCAAACCTGTCTAAAGTGACCGCCCAAGGAAAACACAAAAACTTGTCTTTGTAGACAGGTGGTCTTTGTAGACAGGTTCCTTTAATATATGTTTCAATGAGAAACCATTTCAAGGGAAACAAAAAATATGCTTTTTGTAGACAGGTGGTCACTAAAACAGGTTTGACTGTACATGTATTTCATTTGCATTTCTTGTTCATATTATATGTACAGTGTACATGAAATCATGAAGAGTATGTTTATTTTAAGGTCATGTTCCAAAAAGTTTTGACCAATTTCTTAAACTTTTGCTTCTTTTCTCCTATCCGTATCACAACCTCTTTTAATCTCTTCCTCTCTTCCTCCCTCTCTCTCTCTCTCTCTCTCTCTCTCTCTCTCTCTCTCTTTCTCTCTCTCTTTTTCTCACTCTGTCTGCCTCTCCTTCCAACTGCCCCCTTCCCATATATACTTCCCTTGTACATTGGCCGGGGGCTGTATTTCCTCTACCTGGTGAACTTCAGCTGGGTCGTTTACGACAGGTGAGATGCAGGCTGCCCAGCAAGCCATGACTACAGGCTCATCACGCCAGCAGCACCAGCCGCCACTGGTAAGTACACTTCTATTCTCATGTTAGAGGTAACATGCTTTACATATTATAAAGTAGACTCTAAATTGATTTATTTTGGTTTGGACATCAAAGAATATTGTTATTCTTTTCATGATAAATGATTTGAAAGGAGTTCAGATCTGAGAGATTGTAACATGTATAAAGAGTGTAAAGTGAAACATTGTATTTTGGAGTTAGTATTTTATTTGTTTATTACTCAAACCTATTTTTGAGCTGCTTTTCCTTCAGGTGTTTTCCTTTTTCTTTTAGCCAAAATGTTGTATTCTTCATGTTTATTGCATAGGGCTATTATGTCACATTTCATGATGCAACTCTGTTTTTTGACTGTGTTGATGCAGCATGCAAAATAAAAGTTGATAATGATTGGTGGATCCCATGTGATTTACATGGTCGTATTTTAGAGATACCACAATGTAATTTAGAAGCATTTAGTTTGTGATAACTATCATCAATTCATTATAATACAGTCCTTTGATATGGAAAGTTAACATGTAAATTGTGAGGAAAAAAATAATTTCAAATCCACGTACCTCCAATTTCTTTTGCTATCGATGAAATCATCGTGTTGGCAGTATGTACATGTACATGTTACACTGACTTCTATTTATCTTTTGTTCTTTTTCTATTTGATAACTGCCTTGGTAATACATGTACTTATCAACTTGAGCATAATTCAATCTATTAATACATCCAGTTTATATGATATGAAATATTGATTGATTCATGTACCTCCTATACTCTTGGTATCTATTAAATCACTCTGAAATAGCACATCAGCAGTACATACATTGTAGTACCACTGACTTTGGTTTCGGTTAAAATGTTGGATTCCCGCCAGACTTTTTTCATCCCAAGCCGTGTTTGTTAAGGAAGTGATATCACTATGCTCCGTTTTGATCCCAGACAAGGGGCTAAGATTCCTAACATGAACTTGTTGAGGTAAACTATGTACGTCATACCCCCACCTCGCATCAAGCAATGAGCTACACGTTTGGCTATAGGGATGGTATGACATTCAAACGCAGGTGTATAGTGGATAGCATGGCTTATACAAGGATGTCAGGATCTAAGGAATCAAATGCTGCCTTACATGTTGTTTCAGCTGCCAATGTTTGTTAAACTTATCTACAGGTGTATGTATTTGTGTCTTGGGTCATTCAAGGATATGTAGAGGAATATGTTTCCTAATTTTCAAAATATTCATGTGTAAGTACTGATACATGATTTGTTTTCTTGTTTGTGTTATAGAATTTTGTAAAGTCAACTACTTCTTTATTGTGCATATATGTATAATACAATTTTTGCTTTGATAGATGCACATATATAATATTTATTTCTCTTTTTGAATATCCAGTTGTATATTTAGATGATTATAGGTTTCATACATTTTTATGTACATAAAGATCAGGCAAAGACATTTGGATGTGTATTGGAATACAATTTTTTTCTTCTTTTTTTTCCTGTCATTCCTTGAATGTTCATCATTATATATTTTGTTTTGCTTATTTGAGTAAAACAACAGTTACTTGACTATTGGTTGAAACATGAATACTGTAAGCAGAATAAAATATGTTAACAAGCATAGGTGGTCTTAAAGGATAAATAATGATACCTTGCTCATGTAACAGCGATTACCACATATTAATCTACCAAGTGCATCATATGTAACAATTCAAATACATTAACCTTGTTTCAGTTTCAGTATGTGAAGTTCAATTAATATAATATCAAGAGGACATGTTCCCATCAATATTGAAATGCATTCATAGGATATATTAAACAAATTATACTTTGCACAAAATTAGGTCAGTTATAAGCTAGATTCGATTAGGAATTGGAACAATGAGAAACAGATTTTGAACAATAAACATGTTATTTCAACAAGCATGTCCAGTTTCAAATTTCAAAATATCTTTTTTTTAACCTATAGATGGTCTATACAGTGTAGATAGTCTACATGTTATAGGGATTGCTTTGGAATTATAACATGAAGAAACAGATCTATTTCAAATACTTTCGTACATGCTGAATAGACATTAGTCATTGACATGAGCTCAGTGATGAATTATAATACCATCCTCTATACCAAAATGATTGTAGCTATGTGACCTAAATTGTAACAAACAAACTGAAAAAAAAAAAAAAAAAACTCTGGCACTAACTTCCATGTGTGTGTTACATCAGTGTACTGATTAGTTACAAGTAGACTAGGGTGATACATTAACCATTCAAATATTTAATATTCAATTTAGTTTCAGTTCAGCTCAGTTTTTCTATCAAAAAAATTAACTTAACTCTCATTAAAATATGTATTTGTGAATAAATGTTATGTTGAGGTAATGATGATCTAATTGTAGATTATTACAGTGTTTGTAATGTAAAATGACCGCATTTCAGGTGTGTACTTATGTACCGGTAATCACAATATCATATCACATGTTTATTGAGGAATTGAACAATCTAAAGGTAGATATCAGCGGAGATTAACACTTTGTTGGGGATCTTGTTGATTTATTCATTTAAACTACCTTCTCTTTTTGTGTATGAAACAAGTCATATTACATTATTTAAATTGATGTCCATTGTTCAAATGAGTATAAAATTTAAATCATGCAAATACTTGTATTGCAAATGAATTTTTTGTGTAAGCTTATGGCTGGATTTCCCCCTCATGTTTTCTTGTAGGATCTCCAATATGACCAACATCAAACAAGGATTTACAGCTATGGAAGTTGCAAGATATGACCTAGTTACATGAAGTGAGCTACCACTTTATTCTTCGCTGTAAACTAATCACACAACTCTTTTCTTTTCTTCTTGTAGGATCATGCTAAGAGGCCTGGTATGACCTCAGCCCAGCAGAACTTGATGACCAACATCAAACGAGGATTCACAGCTATGGAAGAGGCAAGGAATGACCTAGGTACCCGGGCTGAGCTACCACCACTTGGATCTGATCAGGTGAGACTACATCCTTTCACAAGCCTGCTACCTTAGCATTGTTATTGAAAACAGAAATTCAGTTCATTTGAGCTCTGTAAATGTGTGTCGTTGTTTTTTAAGTAGTTACCAGTGTAATATTTTACCGAAGTCGATGTTCCAAGAAAAAACAAGTAAATACTAACTGGTTAAAAGGCATTTTTGGTGAAAGAAATATATTGAAATTAATAGCTAGATGTGGCAAGACCACAACTTGTAGTCCTTATCTGTGACAGCTTATTTCTGTATATTTTTAAAATCATATCGGTGTAATTAGGGTAGATAAAAGATGATCAGTATTTGTGATAGTGTTGAAGAAGTGTTTCCATCAAACTCTTCAATATCTACCAGATGGAGATGGCTTATTAATTAAAGCACTAGTTGGCATCAATTAATCCAGTAATCAGTAACGTGTATCATTTTCTTTTCCATCTTGCATAGGCTTCAAGGCAATGGAGAGATAATGCAATGGATGTGAACAAGCAGAACATCCAGTCTCAGCTGAGTGCCATGGCTGCTGCTACGGCTGGTATCATCAGTGAGACATCTGGAGCTGCAGAGGATACAGACTACACTGCAGTGGGATCTCATGTTACCACCATGTAAGATCTTCTTTAAGTGCAAGAAGTTTAAAAGTGCATGTAGCAGTAGTATAACAGCTCCTAGCAATAATAGAACATGCCTATGGCAGTCATCAGTGAGAAGTGGTTGGAGATAGCTGTTGCAATGGCAGGCTTTTTTATTGAGAATTCTGGGACTGCAAAAGATTCAGATATATCTGCTGAAGGGTTCCATGTCACACTAAATACATGTGCAATGACGTAGAAGAAGGTTCCTGGGAATTAAAGATTCAGTTACGAACCGAATGCTGGTATAAAGCAATCTATGTATTTTATGTGGTACTCTTGTATGGTAGCTGCATTTGAGTTATTTGATCCAGCATTCTTCATCGTTAAAGGGGGTTTCCAAAATCTCCAGCATCATTTTGACATCAAATATTTAATATTTTCTTCTTTAGCTCATCCAACTTGACGGAAATGACTAAAGGAGTGAAGATGCTTGCTGCTCTGTTGGGAAATGAAGGAGATAGTGAGAAGTTGCTTGGTGCTGCTAGAGATCTCATGGATGCTTTCTCTGATCTCCTCAAATTTGCCCAGCCTGACAGCCAAGAGGTAAGCACAACGGATCCTAGATTGGATGATAACCCCTTTTGTGCCATTATGTTTACCATTTATTAATGTATATGAATTTGCAGGAGTCCAGTTTTAATTCTTTGCTTCATTGTAAGATGCAGTTTTAAGTCACTCCCATTGTTCCAATCTTCTGAATAATTTGTTTTCTTTTCTTTTTTTAATAAAAAAACATCACATTTGTAACCAAAACAAAAAGTAAATTATTTAAGTTCTTGGCATGGATTTGCTACCCGTGGCACAGCAATGAAATGGAGGAAAAGAGGGCCAAATACATTTAAAATATTTTTTAAAAATTGAAGTGAAAATGGGAGAAGGTCAACAGAAATGAGAAAAAGAAGAAAGAGTTGAATGCTAGGTGGTGTGAAGTTAAAGCAGTTACATTTGTAAGCTCCTGTAAAAGAATTTTTCCTCTAGCAATCTCTGACAGTGACTGTCAGTTTCCCACTAGTTGCTACCACAAATTGAGAATTAAGATTACTGTCTCTTATCTGTACATCACACTTTCTGTCTTTAATTCATCGATGGCTTTAATTTTCAATTCTGCAGCCTCGTCAGAACCTACTTGGAGCAGCCAATCGTGTTGGAGAGACCCAGAATGCATTGCTACGCTGCATGGGAAGCACTGGTGATGTGGATCCAAGATTCCAGGTACAGACAAAATAATATAGATTGTAGATTACATTGGAGATGATTTAAAGGAAAGAGAATGGGGAGGGTTATAATGTTTATTTCAATAAAATAAGAATCATGTATTTAGTGGGGAAAAAAATTTGAAATGATTGAGTAAATGTTTTTGGGATCTACAGAGTGTAGGTGATGCAATTGAGTGTTAAAATGTAAATGCTTATGAGATAACATCCTTTGCCTGAAAAGATAAATTCCTTTTATTTTGAAGCTTCATGCATTGCATGTTTTTATTTTGACAAATATATACACATTATATATTTGTACTTATATTTCATTATTGTAGTATTTAGAAAGTGTGGAATTAGAGCATAATATTTTGTTTTTAATATAGCACAGGGAAAACTGAATGAGATTATGTCTTCTCCTTTCTCCACTAGGATGCCTTGCTAGCCCTCGCCAAGGCTGTAGCCAATGCAACAGCTGCTATGGTACTCAAAGCTAAGACTGTCGCTAGTAAGACAGAAGACCAGGAACTACAGAACAGAGTCATTGGTTCTGCTACTCAGTGTGCTCTCAATACCTCACAGCTCGTCGCTTGTACCAAGGTAATTATAAGGTTTCTATTTTGCTTGTATTTGTGTATTCCCAAGAGAGTTGAAACAATCTAGCATGAAGTATTGACCGAAGAATAAAGTACAGGTACATATCCTAAAGGTTGTATCATTTTAAATAATAAGTTGATATCATTTTCAGCTCAATGTTAACTACATATGAATATAGCATATTTATAATGGTATTTTTAATATACACGATTTGAAAAACGTGATTGATCCTGCTGTCAAGAGAGGTATGAAGTCAAGGGCAGTACATTTAAAACTATATCATAGGATGAATACATGATAAAGATGTCTATATTTCATGTTTGAGTTAGATGCTTGCACCTACCATTACCAGTCCAGGATATCAGGAGCAGCTAGTAAATTTAAATGTACACAGTGTAATCATAATCATAGTGTAATGATATTGATTGTACTCTTTGTGTGTTTAGGTGATTGCACCTACCATTAGCAGTCCAGCTTGTCAGGAGCAGTTAGTGGAAGCAGCTAAGTTGGTTGCTAAGTCTGTGGAGAATGTGGTGGATGCATCCAGGGTAAGTAAGACTGAGTCAGCATCTTACTCATTCACTATCCTTCTATATCATGGGGCTTACACTTGACTAGGACTCCTTCAAGGGTAAGGAGGGGAATCTCCCTTCAGTATCAGTGGCAGACAACAGTAGAAAGAATTATGTTCTGTTTGTGAGAGTTCTTTTAGGATTCATTGTAGTAAAAGTGTGATTTTTTTTCTCACAGTGATATTCAAGTTTGTTATTGTGTTTACCACAGCTCTTTCAGAGCTGTCCAGAGCAAAATTACTCACTACTCCCTTTTATTTTTTTTCTTACAGAAGATGGAAAAGATTTTTTTTTTCTTCTTTTAAACTTTCAATCATTAACACTTGGTATACCTTAGTATTAACATGCATTTATAGACATGTACATGTAATCAATTTGTGCTAAAAAGTTGCAAGACTCAGTACCTGTAAGGACCATCTGTAATTAAGACATTTCTCGTGTAATGGTGGAAGCTTTTGCTAGTGAGCATTTTTCTATAAACTTCATATCTTTAAAGACTTGATTATTTGTTTCTATGGAGCAGTCTTTGTAGAACATATTTGACTGTCTATTTATGTAAGCTTTGTCTGAAAGCAATCGTTCTTTAATTTTGATCTCACAGCAAGCAACGGACGACGAGAGTCTCTTGCAGGATCTTGGAGCAGCTGCTACCCTGGTCACCAAGGCTCTCAATGATCTCCTGCAACATGTCAAGCAAGGTACCGGCTCACAGAGGGCTGTACCGCTCTATGACGAGGCATGTGATCGTATCGTCACAGCAACGGATAAGCTCTTCAGCAGCGTGGGTAATGCCGGTGAGATGGTCAAGCAGGCTAAACTCCTGGCTATGGTGAGTCAACGATTTTTTCTTGATGGATGTTTCTCTTGACGTATGCTTCTCATCATTATGAATACACTCCGCCTCTGAGTTAATGTTGTATTGATTTACTGCATCGATGTGTAGATTAAGAAAATAATACCTTTAGTTATGTATATGACATGTATCAGGGATGTTTAGGTTGTATTTTAGTGATTATTTTAGAGCTGAACCTTTCTATTCATGCTTGATGTACATGTATATTGTATTTCATGGTATCTGATTTGCTTTGTTGCAAAAGTGCTAATGCCATCACATGGGAACCTTTATACAGGTTCTTAAGTCATCCATTTCTTCATACAAGCTTTATGTACTTCTCGTAGGAATGTTAAGGGAGACGCCTCCTGCCATGGGTTGTAAAGGTGTAAGAGAATGAACTGTCTATATTTGTTCAGTTTTGGGTAGAACATTGATCAGAAAAATGCTATGTATTTTTTTTTTTTTACCAATAACATCAGAGATTTGAGTTCATCAGATATGTTTATGAAATTGCCAGCCCTCCAATAGTTTGAATAAAGCTAAATATGAGGGAGGGATATTAATACCAAATCCCTTGTCCTAGTAGAAAATGTTGTTAATCAATAGAATCCATTGTGGAATATCTATGAGCCATTAATGATGACTTGATGTTTTTGACCGTGTTTGTAGGCCACATCTCAGCTGGTGAATGCCATCAAGGGTGAGGCAGAAGGTGTAGGAGAAGGTGACATTCAGAAGAGACTTCTAGGAGCTGCTAAACAGCTGGCTGATGCAACAGCAAGGATGGTGGAATGCGCTAAGGTATGCACTTTACACTTGATCCATTGCAAATAATTACTCGTCAGCATTTCCCATGGGCTGAATCTGACATATCTTGGGCTTAGCATCCAAAGGGTTAATTATGTGTACACTGAATAATGAGTTAATTTCAATTTCAATTTATTTATTCAACCATAAAAATACATATACAATAATTATTCATGAAAATATAAAAACATGGGGTTAGGAGCCCCTGAAGAAGTATGAAAACAAACTTGAGAATGGGGCACCAACCATGACACATATATTGAGAAAATTAACAAAAACATCATTAACAGGAAAACAAATATATACAGGAAAAAAAATTATAAAGACATATATGAGGATAAGACATATACAGCAAAGTACCAGCAAAGGACACACACAGGACACGATGTCAAGCGACACTGCGTCCCTAATGCGCCCCCCGCTGGCACTTTGCAGTATTACAAAACATTTATATAAAAAATATAAAAAAAGAACAAGTGGAGCAAGTTATTCATTATTTAATTGAGCGTGGTTTTTGTACTGCAAGAACTTTTCATTTTTTAAGAGTTTTTTAAATTTATCAAGAGTTTTACTTAGTTTAATATCATTGTCTAGGTCATTCCATAACTTAATTCCATTACAACGTAAGGAATTTTGACTAATTGTAGTTTTGGGAAGAAATTGATGAAGATCTGCGTATTGACGGGTGAATATGAGTGATAGGAGGCATTTGTGCTAAAAAGATCATTATCGTTATGGATGGAGAGAGAGAGAGAGGGGGAGGAGGATAGAAGGAAGAGGGAGGGAGAGGGAGAGAGAGAGAGAGAGAGAGAGAGAAATAAGGAGGTCCTCTTTATATGTAATGAGTTTTTGTTGTTAGATAATTCCACACTTCCATAATGTTTTATCCTTCCCATTTGCTTTTCGAAAATTAATTATAAGTTGGTGTGGGAGTGCCTTATTTGTACATGAATGTATATGTGAGAGCTATTTATGATATGTGGTATGAACGCTCTCTTGTTCATTGTTCAGATTAAAGACACCAATACATTCTCATTTATCTAAATGATAATTAACATTTAATTGCAGGAGAAAAAAATCTGTTAAGTCTATTCTGTAATGATTGATTTCTGTTCTTTCCTTTGTAGCTTTGTGCTCGTAATCCTAATGATCCTGTACAACAGCAGCTCCTGAAGGATGCAGCAGAGGACCTTCGTGCTGCCACCAATGCTGCAGCTAACAATGCTATCAAGAAGAAACTTATCATCAAGCTGGAGGTAAGAAATATATCTTGATCTTACTCATCTTCCTCCAACCTCAAAAGATTATATGGAGAAATATTCATCTATAGCCTTTATTGCAAGACGCAAGGTCTTCAATCTTTGACCTACCTACATACCTAACCCTAACACCAACCCTGAATCTAACGTGGAGTTTAAATACCTGGAGCGAATGTCAGATCACCACAAGCCTTGCATGTATACTTTCTATACAAATTTACCCCCCAAGAAATCTAAAAGGTATTAAAAATTCAATAACATTGTTAGAATTATCTATTCATTTTGATATGTTATCATTTGATTATTTGTAGACTTCTGCCAAGCAAGCTGCTGCCATGGCAACTCAGACCATCTCTGCATCTCAGGGGGCGGGCCCATCAAACACCAATACAGCTGCTCAACAGGCACTCATTGATGAATGCAAAGTAAGTCTTTCACACAAAGACAGGTCATCAATCAATTTTGATAATGCTGAAATATGAAAAGAATTCTTGATTTGAGAAATACAGGAGAAAAGTGTATTTCTAGTGAAACCATACAGTGTATGTCAGTGCACCTTAACCTTAACGGTTATCATTTTTTTGTGCAAAGTAATAGTAAATCTTCTCACAGAGTTTGTTTGCTTCAATTATGTGTTTTTGATTTCCATAATTTTATATTTCAGTATATATATTATCCATTTAAATTACCTAGCTCCTTCATGTAGGTCACCATCAAATATATGAAGTGTGGCATCAGAGATTTGTAGTTATAAAATCTTGAATACTGTTGCTGTTATGGAGATGGTGAGAATCAGGATTTTTTAACATATAGTTATCACATTAATTTTGGAGCAAAAGGGAAGAATTTGGGAGTAGATTTTGTAATCAATATTCAATTAGACACTTTAATGTTGAGAGATCCGACTCTAGGTATAATTTTGTATGCATGATATGAATACGGTATTTAAAAGACCTTAAAGTCTAATGTTATTGTGATATTCTGATTGTTTGTAAAGTTGGGTGCTGAATGTTTTTGTTTGCTTTATTCATTTAAGGTTGTTGCTGAAAATCTTCCAGCATTGATCCATGGTGTTAGGGATTCTGTCAATCAACCGGATAGCTCCAGGGCTCAGATCAGCCTTATCAACGCTTGTCAGAACTTCATCCAGGTAAACATATGTGGAGAACTAGAAAGGAAGTGCAAGTGACAGTGGTAGTAATGGTTGATAGAGATTCTAGTATTTTATTGGAATAGTAGTAAAGATATTGGAATTGATTTCATCTTGGAGCATCAGTGGATATACCAGTGGTATTAGCAGTAAAATTCAGTCAAATGTGTTTCTTTCAGAAGGGGAATGCTTGATCATGTTTTAATTTATTTATAGATATAATTATATATGTCATCAGTTGAGAGTCAGGGGCATTAACTCATGATTTTTTGCATAAAGTTAATAACCCTGTGGCTTTCATGTATGCTACAACTAAGAGTGACATTTATATATGCAGTGCACTATGCAAATTGGATAATATTGGATATATTGTTTGCTTTCATTGTAGCCTGGGACCAAGCTTGTGACTGCTTCTAAGCAGGCTCTACCCAATGTCAGTGATCCTGCAGCCGCTATGCAACTTAGCAACTGCTCTAAGAATCTGAACACTGCCCTCGTTGAGCTCAAGAGTGTTGCTTCCAAGGTAAAGCTAATGTCTGTTGCATATTTAAGTATTTTCCTTCTTTTTATGGACTATACTTTACCTATATTTTTAACTATAGTTTTTAATGTCAATTTGAAACTTTTTTGGTCAAATTTCAGTTAGATTTGTATCAAATTTAAATAATTCTGTGTATATTTTTGGCTGCCAGCAGCATGTAATGGTAATGTACAAGGAACTATAAACTTGATGAGATGTTGTTTTAGATTGAGTGTTTAATTGAAAAAAGAAGAATATGAAAATAATAGGAGCACTTTAGAACATGTACATATTGTACACAAGTTTCAAAATGTAAGTTATAATAATCCAGCAACTATAAAGAAGTACACATGGTGAGAAAACGATTATTTCTTTTCAGGTTTTGTTAACAAATATTATATCTAATTGAGGATATACAATGTACATGTATAGTCATTGTCATGAGAGGCATGTTCACATATTATCCAGTATTCTTTTGCGAGCTAAAACACTCTTTTTAATACATGAAGACCTTAATATACCATACCATCTTTTTAAAATGCTTCTGTGGAGCATTCTACACACCTTGTTAATTGAAAGATGACATTTCTTCTGACTTTTCCTGTAAATACTACTCTCAAACTCTATATTGCCTTATGGAAGTTATACTAATGTTATAGGAGCATTGAGTCATCAGTCTAATTGACAGCTGGTGTACAGCCTGAAGTTAATTCATTTTGTCAAGTTTATTTGTCTATGTGGCTTTCTCCGATCATGTGTCAAAAGACTCCTCCCTAACAACTTGTATTAAAGGTCTATCCTTATGAACACACACATGCTCAAGGTTGTACTGTACCTACTATATTCATAAACTTATTCTTTGTCACCTGCTTATCATCATTTCACAAGAAAATACAGGCTATACTTTTTCTTATTTATATAATGATATTGAATTCTTTCAATGAAAATCATTGCTTAATCACAGGTCAAATTTGACAGGCACTTCAGCCAGAAAAGAACTTTAAAGAATTTGTGGTAGATTCATTATTAACTTTTATATAATGATTATAGGTAAGGTTAGGCACATTCGCTTTGTAGTAACTGTGTATCACAGTAGATTTGCTCTTTTCTTTTTTATAATCAGAATGTTGATCGTACAGTTTTTATTTTTATTCTTTTTGTTATTTTTTAACTATTTAAAAAACAGGACGAATGCTTATCAATCAGGAAGTTTTAGATACAGGTAGTTCTATGATGTGTAATACCAAGGACATGTTCTCATTATGTTTTATTTATTGTATTTATAACCATTGCTGTAGGGGGTTGGGTTAGAGTCATGAGGGAATTATAAGAAGTAGCATTAATGTTGTCCTTTAAACCTCCATAACTGACTCATGAACAGTAGTTTCGTACATATTAATACACCACGTAGAGTACTAGCCTGTACTGGCATCTCTTCATACATTCTGCATGTGATTAAGGACATGAAGTGTATTCATCATGATCACCCTGTTTAAATAGCCCTCACATCCTGGATATCACAAGATCATATTTCATTTTTAGAGCTGTATGTATGTTTGTCGGACAAAAACATCACCCATTCAAGATGTAGCTGCATACCTGTCTTATTGGATCTGAAGTATTGACAAACCAGGATAGATGTTATTGCAAATAACTATCTGAATTATTGATCACTTAGAGGATATTGCAGGCATGAATTTCTTTTAAATTCCAATCTAAGGCTGACTGTGAATTTAAAAGTTTTTGGGGATTTGCAATCATGAGAAAATGTGTCATCAAATGCTGTGGCTGTGGAGATGAAAGAGGTTTTTCTAATGCAGTTCAGACATACTTCTGTTCTTAATGAGAGTTTGAGATTGGACAAAGTTTCCTTATTCATGCCAATGTGTGTCTGGATTAACCATTTACCCGGAGGATAATAACACTTTGTAAAGTGATTTTACAGTCATAATTGTGGTTTTGTTATTCTTGGAACATAACATTATTTTTCAAAATAATTTCATACTACAAGTGTGGAGTGGCAATATAGATTCAGGCTTTGTCAGAGTACAGTAGTACCAGGGGATAGGATTTTAACTAGGACTAATCCACCCGCAGTCTCCCTACAACAATTGTCTATCCTTTAGAGGATATTCTTCAATGTTCCAAGGTTTGAGAGCTTTTTAACATGTTAAATTGAATGAGATGTATTATATGTGTAATTCATTTGACCTGTTACCTTTAATCTTTGACCTCAGGCCCATGATTTATGTGGTGCTATGGAGATTGACAATGCTATTGAGATGATCCATGGAATGGAAGATGAGCTAGATCAGGTGAAGAAGAATGCTAGGGCAGGCAACTTGCATTGTCTACCAGGTGAAACGGTAAGCATCAAACACATGCATGATCTCCTTGTCTGTGCATCATGGTCATCTTGACTAGTGTATCAATATAGTAACTCTAGCATTTAGAACAGCACTAGGTGTTTTGAGAAGGTCATAAAAGATTTATCTCGATATCAAACTCCATTTTGTCAGAATGTAACAGCAAAATGCAAAAGATGTTGAATACATGAGAGGAAGAAGGGCCCTTTAAAAAAAAATGTTTAAAAGAAAGAATTTGATAATTTTTACGGAATCTTGATTTGGTTATGATGGACTTGAGCCCTTCTTCCTCTTTCATGTATGTTTTAATATTTGTTGAGAGCCAGAAGGGGATTAATAGTCTTAGTGCTCTCCTGTCTCTCGATGGATGATATGGATTGTTATAGCTAGCACACCAAATAATTGAATGATAGCGTAGCAATAGAACAGCCAATTTTGAGAGAAGAACTCAAAGAAGTTGTGGTTCAGTGAATGGAAAATTAAAATACTCTGTGATATTACACTTCTGAATTAAAACTGGTTCAAAGTCTTTTAAATTGTTTAAATGTAGATGACTGAAAGTGACTAAAGGGCAAAGTATACTCAATAATGAGTAATGAAAAAGACTTCTTGGACTTTACAATCTAGTTTTATTGCTCAAGGTGGCTGTACAATGCACATTCCTGGCTAGTATAAGGCAATTTGAAATGCAGATGTGCATTTTGATCTTCTTTGTTTTTCATCTTGTATAATATGAAAAGCTGAACTAACCGTATAGAAACAATACTGGGATGTATTGACATTTGATGTTTGTAAACATCTACTGCTTTCCAAGGTCAATGGTATTCTTAGTGTGCCCTCTGCCAGAGAAACACTGTCTCCCCTCTTTTTCTTGCTCTCATTGTCATTTCAAGCTTTCCCTTGCATCTCTTTCTCTCATATTTTTTACTCGTTTCTCTTTAATAATAATAAATAATAGCTACAGTAGTTCTTATACAGCGTTTTTCTATGGATCCATAATGAAGATTGGATGCTCTTGATAAACAAGTTTACATCTTTGAAAAGTTAATGGGATAACTGTCCAGTACTCAATCATTGCTTTCTTACATCGCTTCATTATATCATCAAAGTATTAGAGTATAATTTATATCAAGAGTTATTCATGCGTTCCCTGTGGCTAAGTTATAAAAGGGCAAGCAGTTTTAATTTTTCAAAATTTCCAATATTAAATGAAAAGATTTTTATGATTATAGATATCCATGTGATCTATGGAAATTTAATGTTTATTTAACTACGTTGAAAAGATTAAATTCCATTAGTCCGTAAAACTTCATGATTCTTTCATTCTTTGTTAGTTTGAAGTAGAAGTTGTTCATGACATTTACTTATAGACAGTATTGAGTGAAAAGATTCAATATTGAAGCTAATTGAGAAAATAGAGTAGTGTCTAAGGAATATATTATTCAGAGGAATTCAATATCTTTTGTAGAAGTCTCTTCATAACACGACACTGTAATGTAGCACCTCTCCATTAAACCTACCATTTCAACTAATCCAACTCACACTAATGCTCTTTCAATCTTTCAATCTTTTCACTTCCCTTTTGAATGACATCCTTGCCACCCTTCCCTTGCCTCATACTCATCGATAACTGCACCCCTCGCAGCCCGAGTACTGTGCCACCCAACTCAGCGTGACCTCCAAGGGCGTTGGTGCGTCCATGGCCCAGCTTCTGACGGCTGCTGCCCAGGGCAATGAGAACTACACAGGTATGGCTGCCAGAGACACGGCCAATGCCCTTAAGAACTTGAAGGGTGCGGTCAGGGGGGTGGTAGCAAGCAGCAGTGACCAAGAGGTCCAAGAGGGTATCGTCGATCATGCCAAGGATGTCATGGACAAGTCTGCCAATCTCCTGGAGGAAGCCAAGAAAGCTTTGCAGAACCTGGATGACCCAGCTAACCAACAGAGACTGGCACAGGTGAGCTCTTAGACAGTGTATTCTTCAGACAACATATCATACTGCCCTTATAAATGACTGCTGTAAAACCAGAAACTCTTTGTGTACATGAAACATATGTAAATCCTGCAGCAAAATACTTGAATGACATTTATCACAACAAATTTTGTCAATTTCTTGAATGTCTGTTCAAGAACAGCTGTCACTATCAAGTTATGAAAGTTCCTGGTAATACGGTATGTAGTTGTTGTAAACAAATGGATACAATGATCCTGCATTAAAATCCAAGTCAGAAACTATTCCTTGTATATAATTGTGGTCAGTAAGCGAAATGCTGAAATTCATGTTTTAAATCTAAAAATATCGCTGCATGGATTCATAAGACAAAATGCTTAGTCATTGACATTTTACGAAGTTATCTGCACTTGTTTTTATTTAACATTAATCTTCTTAATATATTTAGGAACGCCCATCTTTCAAGACCTTATCTTGTCAGACATTAATTTGTTATCAGCACTTGAATGGCTTTACCTACATCTAAATCACTTATAGAGATTCTTATTTTTTAAAGATACATTGTGCATAAAATATTTGAAGGGTCTCCCAAAATAGAAAGATACTGCTTCCCTCTATTTATTGCATTGATTTCCCAATAAAGTTATTAATATTTTAGGTTTATAAGCTCCTTTAAAGAGATGAATACATATTGTAAAATATGAAGTTAGCTTTGCATCATGTTTTCAAGGTACCTGATAAGATAGACATATCCCAAATTACAAAGACTATTTTGATAGGAAGAAGTAGGGGAAAAAGTAAAAGCATTTGTTTTTCAAAATTTATTAATTTTACAAGCTTGTCATCCACAACTCCTGAATGAAATATTGATGTTAATGAAAGGTCTTTTTATGACCCTATTTGAATCCTAAGATTACAATGCAAACTATTTTAAAATAAAAATATGAGTATCAAGTAGTTTTCATGTTTTGGATTTTCTTGATTCAATGTCATATTTTTGTTGTTGTCATACTGTCACTTTTGATTTTGGGGTGCATTCTGCTGAAATTATTATTCCTTTAAGCAATATAGAGGAATACTCTCAATTGAAGGACTAAATCCTTGTTCACATATGCAGTGGATAGGTGCAGTGTTTTTAAATGTTATGATGACGTCAGGAGTAACAGGCTTTACATTTCTGTATTAGAAACAGAGGTGAATACACCTAAGACCTTTGTTGTGTACAGTTTCCTTTCATTTATACGTTTAAAAAACATGCTGTTTTTTCTCTTCTTGGTGGCTTACCATGCCATATCCGAACAAGTCTTATATTTGGTTCCTACATCTTGTATTCTATTCCTGACTACTGCAGGTGGCTAAGGCGGTATCTCTTGCGCTCAACAACTGTGTGAATTGCTTACCAGGACAGCGTGATGTAGACAAGGCCATCAGGGCCGTGGTAGATTCCAGTAAAGGACTCATGTCTGGCAGGGTAAGTGGGACGAGCATGATGTCCTCACTGCATCCATTGAGTGACTTAATTAGAATGCATTTTAGAAGTGTGTTCATGGCATGTCTTGCCTTTTTTCTGCATCTTGATTCATATACTTTCGATGTTCTTTGGATTATTTAAGAATGTCTCTTTCTTAGCTGTGGGCGGCAAATTCTGCCCAAGAATTGTAACTGTTGAACAACGTTGTCTTTTGAAGAATTAAGACCTTGTTTGATGATTGATGTGTTATAGTTATATTATCTATTAGACAATGAAGACATGATAACATATGTACTTGTGATTTCAGTTGTATTTTCTTGAGTTTATTAATATCAGATTTACATTCATTGAATGCTTTTATTTCATTAGCAAACTTTGATGTAAGTCAATGAATGTTTTTATCAGAATGATTATAATAAGCATGATATCATCAACATGTTCTATCATCTTTTCATCAAGGTTTCTGTTTTTTATTACAAGTATAGCATACAAATTATGACCCTACAGATACCAATCATTTTGATGTTGATATCTGTATTAATACTAAATTCTATGAAATATATTGTTCTTCGTACTAAAAGGAGGATGAGCACTTAACGGTAATTACAATACCAAATATACTAGATTCAGATGAAATCATGAAAAAGCTTTCCAGCTTTCTCTCTACGACTGTAACATTCTTTAGTAGTTTTTTTAATTCCACCAGGCTTTTTCCGTCTCCAAATCTTATTCATCATTCCTTTCATATTTCTCTTTTCTGTAATTTGTCAGCAAAATTATGTTGGAAACCATATTGGCATATCCTACTTTTCTTTCCCTCCTCATATTTTGTTTGTTATTTTGACCATACTCCTGTAATACTTGCTTCTTGACATGCATACTAATTAGATGATGAAAAAAGCGCAGGAGAGATATGCCATGGTATGTAGTAAAGAGGCGATGTAAATACCAAATCAATTTGTGGGTTTTTATCTAGCACTGTATCAAAAATATTTCATATACTGCGTGTGCTCAATACTACTCTGCCTTCTTACCTATATCCCAATCTTTTATCTTGTATTACTTCCCCTTGTTTGTCTATTTGTGGTGTATATTCCCTAAAATAATCCCTCTTCTGGCAATTTCAGCACTATACTTGCATATGTACCTATTCAATTAGCTATTTAAGACATGTTTGATAAATCTCCTTTGAAAAATTTTAAATAAAAATATCCCCTTTTTCTCAAAAATATTAAACAGAAACTGTTGATCATGTTCTTTAGAATGATATTCAAATTATGCTGTTCTTGAGAAATGTTTCATTAATCAAATTTTATGTTTAAGAAATATTTATATCCTTTAAAAGAGATCTAAAAAGAATTTAACATAAGGCTTTTTTAAGGCTTCTCTCAAATTATAAGTAAATTTAATGAAAAATGTAAAATACGTACCATCTCATTATTCTTGTTTTATGTCACCCTTTTGTTTGCTTCATATTCTATTCTTTGTTTTTTGATGTGTTTTATACCTTTCAATAATCCTCTATCACACCACAGTCACACAGCTAGACCGGCATCAAATCGTCACCGACCGAACAACAAATTGCATTACAATTTAATAACTCTTTACCGTATATGCCTCACCAAAAATTAGTCTGAGCCACATTGTAGTTATCATAGGATAGATAAAACTAAAGAATTTAGAATTATTCAACTGTTTGTGGTGCAAGATTAATCTACACTGGTGGTAAAAGGGCTGTCATGCAGTTAATTTAAGACCGGTAATGGGTCATTTGCAAAACCATCGTGTTGCACAAAGCAATCCTTCCATCAATTGGTGCTCGTTCTTTTGGGCAAAAATGCATGTGTTTCAAAAGAGCGACTGTGCAGAGAGGCAAAGGAAGCAGAAGAAGTGATAATTGCTAAAAATCTGTCAGTCTGATGTCGGTTAAAATCGGTTTGGCGATGTGACTGTGGTATTTACATTTTATATTCATTTTTAACCTTGTTTCATTTCTCTCTGTACCTTTGCATGTTTTTGCTAATCGTTGGGTGTGCCATGGTGTCATCATCTCTCATCATTCATTCCTGGTCTTCCGGGTGCATCACATTCCTCTCAATGACCTTTGACCCCATCTACTTCCTCCCCCTCTTCCTCTCTTTCTGTCTGTCTGGCTGTCTCTCTCTCTCTCTCTCTTACTGCGTCTCCTGTTATTCATTTTCACCTTTTTCTGTTATCTTATGGATCTTCTCTTTCTGTAACACTCTGTGTCTCTCAATTTTCTTATCCCTTGCTTCCTTTAACTTTAACCTTTAAACTTTCTGCTCTTCCTCTCTCTCTATCTCTCTCTCTCTCTTGTCCTCATCGTCCAATCTTCCCTCCACCTGTTCGATGTCTTCCATCACCTCTCACTCTATATCATGGGGTCTACGTACGTGCGTGTAGTTTCACCAGTCAAATAATCGTCACAGCATGTCTATGGATCTCATGTCACCTACGTCTAGTATTACCCCTGAAGAGTTGGAAGCTTTGTTTGCAAGAGTATGTCTGTTAAAAGCAAACAGTATTTTGATATCACTTTGTTGTAGCTGATCTTCTCTTTTAATAGCTCCCCCCCTCCCCCCCCCCCCCCCACATTAATAAGGGGAGGGGAATGAAAGTCATTTGCAAACTTAACTATACATTAATGAATACATTTTCTAAATCTGGTAAATTGGTTATAAAGTGTTAATTCACATGATTTTAAGAAAGTGTAAAAAGGGTAAGCCCCATAAAATAACAACCTTGGAAGTAAAAACTTGTCTTGTTGCGAGGTCTTGCAATTTGTCTCAAGATTGAGGGCCACCTCTCGTTACTTATAATTCAAGGAAAAAGAGAAGATTACTTTATTATTATTATTTGGTAAGTGACACAAGATAGAGCTTTAATGGGAAAGGGATATTGGATAATGAAACATTGATATTGATAAGTAAAAAATAAAGCAAAAACAACCACCTCCCCCCCCCCCCCCAAGAAAAAAAGGGGGGATACAAGCAAAAGAAAATAAGCAATAAAAGTTGGATGATTTTATATTATAATATTATAAACCTTGAAATTTAAAAAATGTGTCATGATATATAAGTTATAGTTGTACTTAAAATGTAGATGTATTTGTGTGAAATATGGTGTTGCGTTTTTCAATCCGTCTCACAAAATATCCATGTAGTGTGAATGTATCTTCTTTTATATCTAAGCGCACATGCACTATTCTTGCCCATCAGCAATTCTATTTCATTTTTAATTATATGGGGAGCATTTCCATTTAATGAAATAATATATAATCACATAATCGTTATTGATATATACCCAATGTAATATTGGTAAGAAAGGCTTTCTTTGACAGGTTTGAATAGTTGGTTAAAGTTTACTTCTGCATGAGAACCTTTTTTATATTTTGAATTCCTATTCTGTTTGTGGTTTCTCATGAGTTTGAAAATGATAATGTGAACTTTTGAAGAGTAATTGTATGAATACAATATAAACAATGCATTCTGCTTCAATGCACTCAAGAGCCAACTTGATCAATTAATTTAAGTCCTTTCCTTTTGTCATCCATAGTCTGTGATGATATTCTAGTACTACTAGTTTGTTCTTTGTAGAAGCTGAGTTTAGGAAATTATATCTGAAAGGAAATTCTATTCTTACATGCCATTAAATACTTCATTTGAAATACATCATTATGCTTCATAACATGCAGCATGTCATTAAACATTTTTTTTTTTTTTTTTTTTTTTTTTGGGGGGGGGGGGGGAAGCAAAATAAACGTACATCTGTATAAAGTGCTCTTTTGGAAGTAACTTGTAAATTGTTAAGGGACTTGCAAACATTCCAGTATTATGTGTATATAAAAGTGTTTTTGACTCTAACTTTTTTTCCTTCTATTTCCACCTATTTTACCAACTGCCCTCTACCATCCGACTACCAACATATTTCCCCCTCTACCACCCAACCACCCACCTGTCTGCCACCCCTCCCTATTGCGTCCCTCCAGCTTCCAGCAGGCACCCAGAGGAACTACCAGGAGCACCAGAATGCACTGAACAGTGCAGCTCAAGGACTCAATGTGGCTGGCGGAGAGCTGGTGGTGGCTTCCAGAGGTACGCCTGAAGAACTGGCTGTAGCAGCCAATGAGTTCAGCAGAGAGTTCCAAGAATTGATGGACTCTGGTATGGGTATGGCCAGGACTGCACCGGTAAGTTGAGAAATGCTAGTGGATAAAATGTGTCCTGTTATGAGTCTGGAATGAGACCATGGTCCTGTGTGTGCTATATGTATATATATATATATATATATATATATAACAACTTATTTTGAAGTAAATAATTGGTCAAACAACTTGTAATACCATGGCATTAAATGTTATTATCTTCATGGAAAGGTAAAAGGGAAATGCATTTTAAATATTTTTTAATTATATATGAAAAGAAAGACAATCAATGGGAGGTTATAGTTTGCATATAAAAACACGCTATCTGTTTAATAAAGGACAGGTTTAACTTTAAATAGCTATTAGAGAAATCTCATTAAAACTGCCATTCTTTATCCATTCCTGTGCAGCATTGTAGATTCAATGGCACCTTTTTGTTTAATTGAAAGTGAAGTAATGACAAATTTTATGACAAATTGTTTGATGAAAACTGGTGAATTGCAGTTTAAGAAGTGGAAAATAGAAAAAATAGTAGTGACTGAAATATTAAATTGTAAATCTTAAGCTTTTGTAGACGATAATATGTACATGTACATACAGGTGTATGAAATAAGACAGATAATATATCTTAATGTTTTGTTGTCTTTGATCAGACTGAAGCTCAGAACAACATGGTCGGTAGTCTGAAGAACATCTCAGTGTCTTCCAGTAAACTGCTCTTATCTGTCAAGTCAATGTCAGTGGATCCTAATGCTCCCAACTCTATGAACCTCCTGGCTTCTGCTGCTAGGTAAGAGCAAAGCATTTTATCTTCATTGCTTCTCTCTGCCCAGGTGTTAAATGGGTACCAGATAGGATATGAAAGTCATTGTGGTTTAGTCAAGATTGTGAGCGCCTCTGAAAGGTACCAGACCTCAAGAAAATTCTTCTCCCATGGATGCTACTTCTCCAAAATCTCATTCAAAAACAGCCCTTGTCAGTAACATGTATATGTATGGGGTTCTTTTTGTGATTATTGGGCTACTTTTTTTGTAATAGAATGTAGAATAATAGAATATTCCAATTTATAGAGCTCTTACCACTCCCTTTACACTTGTATAAAAGATCATAGTATTTACCCATCCCCCCCCCCCACTCCAATTTCAGTAACTAAGTGTTGGAATTGAATACTTAACAATATAATTTATAGGCTTATAAAAGAAAGTTGTTACATGTTTTTTAATCATTTTGGTGATATGATATTTGTACATCTGAGTCAAGTAAAGATGATTGGATTTGATTGCTTTTGTCTCACCAGGCAAGTAACAGACAGCGTGAACCAGCTTCTGAACACATTCATGCAGAGCGCCCCAGGTCAGAAGGAATGTGACAATGCATTGCGTAACATTCAGACCATCAAGTCTATGCTGGATAACATCAATGAACCTATCAACGACTGGACTTACTTTGAGTGTCTTGAAGCCATCATGGCTAAATCAAAGGTAAACTCTTCGCTTTAAAGTGAAATACCAGAATGAGTTTGAGAAATTCCTCTGAAAGTTTGTGAAAAGTTATTGATTGTTAGTATCTTTTAGGACAAAATATGCAATAAAATGAAAATTTGCAATAATGATGTCAAAAGATTTTATACAATGCATTTTTCAGCAGAGTAATTTAATATGATCATTTTCATTAAGATATGAAGTGCTACTTTAAATTATATTGCAAATGTTGCAATAGATGTAACACCAAACTGAAATTTACATGTTATGAATATTGGATTATGGTTTTAATTTGCTATGTAATGTACTTGTAGCTACTTTTTGTTATTCAATGGTGCTCTGTGTTTACGAATGGACATTCAAGTCTCACAAACACTACTCTTGTTGTGTTTCTTAGGTCCTTGGTGAAAGCATGAATGGTATCGCCAGGACTGCCAAGGATGGTGAGCTGGAAAAGTTTGGTCACATGGTAGATTCCGCAGGAGAGGCTGTGTGTGGACTCACTATGGCTGCTGCTCAGGTAAGCAATACTTACACTTTGAGATATTGACACTTATAATCATTATAATCAGAGTTTAAAGTTAACTGATTACCTGCAAAATACTTTATGTACAGCAAGAATGTATAAAATCAGCCTTAAGAAACTTTTACCAATATTCTATGAGCTAATTGATTAGGAGTATTAAAAAAGAATAGGAAGAATAGCATAAAATCTCGAGCACGGAACCCGAGTCTAACTTGGTTTGACTGGGGTTCCATGCGGCCCCTTTTCTACGCACTTTCTTGCACTGTAGTATATGAATGCTGCTGCCATAGTTTTTTTTATCTGTGTGATGGAATATCAAGAAGCACGATCACATAGAACGGGGTTTACATACAAAAATAAAAGTTTAGAGCTGTCATGGATGTCAACATTCAACCTTTGTTTTTGTAGTACAATGTCTTCTTATTGTCCAGTCCACTTTATCCATATCTATTTTTGTTTTCAGTCTGCGTACTTGGTGGGTATCTCTGATCCCTCCAGCACTGCAGGTAGACCAGGTCTTGTGGACCAGTCCCAGTTTGCTCGTGCCTTCCAAGCAATTGAATCTGCTTGCCAAAACCTCCTCAATCCAGATAGTAGCCAGCAACAGGTGAGTCAAAGCAACAATGTCCTCTCTCATCATCTAAGGTCTCTCGTTCTCTTTTCCACATTTCTGTGTATGTAATGTATGTAGATAAACATGTATGTCATGTCAAGTTCAGGAACAACACTTTTTAAAGACCAATTTTAGCCCATACAAACAGAATCAATACCCTAACAAAAAAAGTTGGTCTTCAAGAGTTTCTTGAACTGGACTAGGAATAAATGATTATGTACATGTATGTATTATGCAGTTTTTGATGACCAAGAGGTATTATATTTTGTCTTCTTTTATTCACAAATCATTACTAGGTCAGTCAATGATTTTTTTAAATTATCAGCATGAATTATGATACTGTAATACAAAAAGAAACATCCATTGTATCCCAAAGACATATTTTCTTTTTTGTTATCGTCTGGTTTGTCAAAAATGGGCAAGAAAAGATAAATACACACATATTACAAGATTTAAATATATATATATATATATATATATATATATATATTTGTATGTAACTATTATTGGGTTATTTCATTTTTGGGGCCTTTTCCTCATTAGGATTGCATGATCAATTCATGTTGATAGCAATCAATAATCCTGCATTATTCAGACAATACTTTCATTTGAAGATTTTTTAATACATTAGATGAGATGTAAAGAAAAAGAAGCTGTACATTAATTTTTTTTCTTCCTATATGGGTGGTCATCAAATGAAATGAAAGCTGTACTTTGTTATTGTCGAAAATATCTTCAAAGTTCATGTAAAAGAAGCCATTCACAAGACAATGAAAAAGACCTCATTACTCACCGAGAACATCTATTTAAAGGACATATTCCTACTTGATTGCATAATATATCAAATAATCTTAAGGCCATATTTTGCAGAAGAGCTTTTTACAGTCTTAAGATATATAAAGGTCAAATCTGAATTTAACGAAGCCATTTAAAAGATGAAAAGTACCACATTTGACTTTTAAGATAGAGATTAAAAACAATTATTTTTTAAATGTCAACATGTGAATAGGATGGTTTTGAAAGATTTCCAATTTGGATAAGTAAGGTCCCTAACTCTTAATGGAATCATTTCAGGTTTTGGCAGCAGCAACAGAGGTGGCCAAGCACACTTCAGCCCTGTGCAATATATGTCGAGTGGCTTCATCAAAGACCAGCAACCCGGTAGCTAAGAAACACTTCGTGCAGTCAGCGAAGGATGTGGCTAACAGCACCGCCAATCTGGTCAAGAGCATCAAGGTAAGTAACCGTCTCCTTCACTTTTTCAAATTGATTTTAGGGTCTTCACAATGCTTCAATATTGGAGTTTGATATCATGGACTTGCCGATTGTCTTTTGTTTTACATTAAAAAGGTCATACTTTGATAATTAGAGCATAAACTTGAGCAAATATGTGTAAAAATGCACTCATCATTTCATTGCGACATGATCTTTCATTTCATGATATTCAATTTTCATTCCTTTTGCTACAAACTTACAGATATTGAACATTGGTGTTTTATTTAGTTAAAGATAGAAATTAGTTCTAGTCATGTAATAAGGTTGTCAAGAAGAACTGTCTGGAAGCAAGTTGGAAGGGTTTATAATGTAGTACATAGGAATTAGTGTAATATGTTAGGTTTCATACTCATCCAACTGATACAAAATTGACTCAATCTAAAATAAAGGCACATAGGAATATGTATACATGTATATAGGACTACACACACATGTGGCATGACTGGTCCAAATACTTCAGGTATTTCTAGTTATATTTGGACTATGAGGGTTCTTCAAGAGTAATCTTTTTCAGGGGGACATGTCTACTGTGACATTCTTCCAAGCTGATATAAATAGAACAAGGAAGCTTGCAAGTAATTTTGTTCACCTTTATCAGTTCTCTTCAAGCCAATCTCAGTAAAGTACGCTTTAATATATGAAAGCCATCATGATTTGTTATTTTTTTAAATCTGCTTTTGCCCAACCAGGATCTGGATGGCAACTTCACAGAAGCGAATCGCCGTAACTGCGGTGAGGCGACCCGCCCTCTTGTGGATGCTGTGGAGAATCTCATCACCTTCGCTAGCTCTCCCGAGTTCACCAGCGTGCCTGCCAAGATCACTCCTCAGGTAAGCTTAAAGGTCAAAGTTCATTAGTATGCAGCAGAAGTACAGTTTCCAGGGTTCCCCACTATCCTGGAAATAAGGGCAAAAATGGAAAATGGGTCCCTTTCACCAGTCAGGGAAAGGTCAGTGAAATTTACAAAATTCACTCAAATGAAGGAAAAATATGTGTCCAAAATATTATTTCCACTGGACGATTGGATGTGAAGATGTTCTAATGTGTAAAATGCTACTTTTTATGATCCTGCAATATTGAAACACTATCAAGGAAAAATTGACAGAAAATAATAAATAAATCAGAGAATTTGTGTCCATTCCCCCCCCCCCCCCTCCCCCCATTCACCCTACTTTACAGTACTGTCAAACAAATGCTTGTGTAGCATTTGTTATTTTATTTGTACCAAAAAAAAAATCAAAGCTGATCATATTTAGAGGCTGGAATGAGGTTTGAAATTCCTGCTTGTGCTTCTTATGTGCAATGTTTGTCACTTTTCAAAGATACAATGGATTGTATTTTTGTCTGAAGTAAGCATATAAAGCATATACATTCAAGGGTTGCTCGGGGCACTTACATGTACATGGACAAAGCTCTTTATTATAAACTTGCCCATAGCCAAACTGCCAAGTACACTTCTAGTCATGACATATCAATTATTTTATTGCAGGCCCGCGTGGCAATGACGCCTATCACAACGGCAGGCAAACGTATGATCGCAAGCTCTAGTGCCTTGATCCAAACAGCCAAGCCATTGGCCATCAATCCCAAGGATCCGCCCACTTGGCAGCTACTGGCCAATCACAGCAAGAACGTATCAGACTCCATCAAGGAGCTGATTGCATCCATCAGGTTAGCTCTCTCTCAACTTCATTTCATTGTAGTTATATTAATAGTAAGATATTTGTACTGATGATGAAGGAGTTGGAGGTTAATACATGTAGCTAGGCTAGGCTAGGATTTGAATCCTCAATCCTTGGATTGAGAGTCAAGTGAATGAACCTCTATACTACAACAGAAAGCACTAAAGTGAGGAGAGATAATGTCACTTCTATGTGTGTAAATTTATATTCATGCATTATTTTGCAAAATTATCCACAAATAGAATGCCTGTTTATTCATAATTCTGACCATTTATACATATTAGCACATGAATATGGAGCATCTTTTTAAAATATTACCCACTTAGTGCAATATTTAATTTTTTCATCTGTTTTATCCTTTATTTATTTCCTCATGTTTGATGCCTATATCAATCCATTACCTATAGGAATCAGATGGTTTGTGTAATGAATCTATGGGAATGAGAGAAGTATATATTTATATAATATTGACTGGCCTTGAGGGTATATCAGAAATATTGACCAAGCTCAGATCATATTGCCCCGAGTCGAAAGACGAGGGCAATATGGTCTTAGCGCGGTCAATATTTCTGATTTCCCCCGAAAGTAAAGCCAGTCAATATTTTTATTGTTATCCAAATCAGACATCTAGAGCAAATACAGAAATCCACCATGACAATCTCAAGAACTGAATAAACTTTGTCAAACCAACACTGTGCATCCAGTGCTTGACAAAATTTTCGATACACTGCAAACAGTGTGTATTTGGTGTGATTATTACGTCACAATAGAGTCCGCGCAAAGTGCGCAGGTTCTCGTACGCATAATAGATGCGCAATGAAAATGCGACGGGGTCAATACAAGATGCCTGGATGCGAGACCGTGGAAAATACCAAGGTATATTTTCACTCGTCTCTACACGCAAAGTCAATACGCGCAGGGAGACCAAGGAAAATACAAAGAATATACACCTCCGTTCCCACTGCTAGTGAAAACTAGGGCAATACGGTTTTGTAAATGACCAGCTCAGATGCCTGATACGGGTAATAATGAGGAATATTGCTGTTACTGTAGCATATTTTATTTACCTCCTTTCTGATACAGGGATCGTGCACCAGGCCAGAGGGAATGTGATGAAGCAATCAACAAAGTGAACAAATCAATCCGTGACTTAGACCAATCATCTTTGGCTGCTGTAGGTCAGACTCTGCCTCCACAAGAAGGCAATAATCTCAAGGTATAATATGTTAATCTTTTAATTTGTTTAATGTTAATCTGTTAATCAGGTAATCTGTTAATCTGTTTATTTGTATGATTGGGTCAGTCTTGTATCATCCCCTTTCTGTTTTTCCTACCTCACTGTCTTTAGCCTGATCTCTCTCTCTCTCTATCTCTTTATCTCTTTCTCCATCACCCCTATCTCCCCCCCCCCTCTCTCTCTCTATCTCTTTCTCTCCCTCCTTCTCTTTCATATTATTTTGTTCCTTTCTTGCTCTTTTCTCATCTCTAATTTATTATTTCCCTCTTTAATAATAATGGTTATAGATGAGACTTGTAAGGTGCCAAATGTAAGACAGAAAGTTAAAAAATGATAGAACAATTAAATATATTCTGAATTAAATAGATACATTTTGAGATTACTTTTTAACACTTGCTATTACGGATCTCTCATGGGAGAACATTCCACAGCGAAAGTCCTGCAAAGGTTCCTTCCTCCTCCTCCTCCCCCCCCCCCCCCCCCCACTTAGTATTGAGCTTAGGAAGAACAAGAAATCTGGGTTTTGAGAGCGTAAAGATCTTTACGGAATGTAAAAATCGATGATCAAAATAATATTGTATCGAACATTTGTCTGTTTTTAAATTGATAACCATTTTGACACATTTCTGAATTTTAGGATATTTTAGCCATTTATTACGAGTACCGGTATATGACCCTGAGTATTCATTATCTTGTATATTAACAGGGCTACACAGAGCACTTGAATGCCAGCTTAGCACAGATCAAAGATAACATTGACCAGGTTGCCAATGCAGCTAAAGGACATGCTGAGAAGCTTGGACATGGGGTAAGATTTCTTTCTACCATTTATCATTTTTAAATAAATTTCTGCAGGTAGCTAAGCTGGGATCACTGATTAGCTATATGAATTATTCGATGGCTGATTATCTGAGATTTAGTGAAGTAATATTTGAGTATTGAGAGGAGAAAATATATCTTCTGCTGAAAGTCAGTAGGGTGTTGACTCGCCTTTACCCAGAGTTAACGTCCTTCTGGCTCTTAAGATATGATATGTTGCTGTCTTTATCCTATCATCCTATATCACTGTGGTAACTGCTTTACTTCAATTCCAATAATGATTTTCTTCCTATGCCTGTAGGTAACTGCTATGGCAAATTACTTTGAGCCTCTAACCCGTAATGCCATTGGCGCTGCCTCTAAGAGCATCAACTCACAGCGCCAGATGGCTCTGTTAGATCAAACCAAGACTGTTGCTGAATCCACTCTGCAGCTTCTCTATGTCTCCAAGGAAAGCGGTGGCAATCCAAAGGTAGGTTGTATTATCTGTTGAGAGCCAGAAGGTCATTATAATTGCTGTAGCCAGAACTTTTTAACTGGGAGGGGGGGGGGGCGGAATACATACAAAATCACAGAGTCACATTCAAGCGGTTACACTGAGGTAGGGGTACATGTAGGTTAAGACAATCACCCCTAAGTTTAGTTTAGTTTTGTTTTGTATTGGACAAACAGGGGGGGGGGGGGATACATAGCACTCTTGTGCCCTCATGCTATGCATATTAGCATATTTTTTTGTTATGACTGGGTAAACAAAGTTATTATTTGTATTATTGTTATTATTATTGATATTATCATCATCATTGTCGTCATCGTTATTTTTATTATTACTATTAGGCTTTACAAACCCATGGAGCCGTGGATGAAGCAGCTCAAGGTAGCAAGGAAGCAGTAGATGATCTCATTGCAACACTGGAGGAAGCTGCTAGTGAGTTTGGTATCGTTACTGGAATGGTGGACAGCATCTCAAGGGCTATCCTTGTGGTAAGTCGCTAGAATTTAGATTGTTAATTTAGCTCTGTTAGACATTTGACAAGTTTTGTGTTCATATTTTTTTGAAGACCACATTGAAATTGTATGTACTAAATAAGTTACTAATTACACTGTACATGTAACATGTGCACATATTTCCTGGTTCATTCATTTACTCCAAAGCTTTGTGATTTTTGTTTAGAGTTACCTACATCATCACGTTCATGTATTTATTCAAAATATCCCTGTTTTCCTTTCAGACTGAGCAAGCTGTACCAGAGAATGAAGTTGGTGACTTTGTGGACTACCAGACAGACATGGTCAAGACCTCCAAGGCCATCATTCGAACTGCTCAAGATATGGTTAGTTTATTCTCTCATGCTCTCATGTTTTCATAAAGAACCCTCAAAAACTAGTTCTGCAATTCAAGTTTGAGTGTTAATATCTGTCTTGTAACTATATTATCATACTTGAATTTGGTTTCATTTCAAAGCCTGCTTATTTCACTTTCCAATTTGTTTTAATGAAAGTTGGGACTCCCAGAGCTAATTGATGTATTTGTTTGTGTGTCATGATTAGGTGACCAAGGCCAATAGCAATGTTGCTGAGTTAGGAACCTTAGCCAATCAATTGCAGCATCATTACAACAAGCTAGCTCAGAATGCCCGAGGTGCCCAGGCCTCCACCAATCAAGAGGTAATGTTTCTTCCTCTTTTCCCTCTAAGAATGTCTTTCAGATTTGATTGCCATGCTTTCTACTATAATTTTATATTTGCAATTTCATGTGAATTCAGTTTGTAAAAGATTTACTTTTGCCTTTCCTCTGACCTTTGTTTCAATTAATATTTTAATAAGAATTGTATAAATTTGATTTCTTTGTTTATTCTTTACTGAGGTCATAATTTTATTGCTGTCATTTCTTTTCAAAAATAATTCTCAGAGATATTGATCTAAATGACAATGGAGTGCTTTCAATGCTTTCTTCTGACTTGATGTGAAATGTTTAATTTGGGGTGATTTATCTTTTTGTTTCTATATTAAAAACTTTCACATTTTGGTTTGTTCTTTAAGCTTCCTCTTTTTGAAGCCTTATTTCGAAGGCTTAAATGAGTTGTGTGTGAATTGATCAAGGCTGTTTTAGCATGTCTTTCTTTCTCCACATAACAAACACTGTCGTTCTAAATCCCATGGTTTTTAGGATTTTGAGAAAAATGGTGTTCAGCCGTACGAAGTAAGTAAAACTGACCAAAGTAATACTGAGATCACCATGAATGGAATGAGCCTGCAAAGTCAGTGTGTACCTGGTTGTTTTTTAACCTCTCTAATCCTCTTTGTTTGTGTTTAGACGAGAGTGTGTGAAATACAAACCAGAACTAGACTGGATTACTATACTGTTATGCCTTGAAGCACTGTTCACACTCATAATTAGATACCTTGTTTTACAACACTGTCTCTCTTGTGTATTTCCATACGTCTGAACAGATGAAGTACCCGTCCCAAGAGGTAACAATCCAGACATTGTATAACCCTGAAGTTTGTTATAAGAAGCAGGACCTGCTGCCGCTGTGTTTACCTGCAGTTTTTTTCATTTTTTGCGATATCATGTTAGGCCCTTTTCATATTCCAGTATATCAAAATGAAGCTTTAACACTGCAAAAAAAAGAGGCTGTGATTGGACATTTAACATGTGTGTTACTGCTTAAGGATGAGAATTACTGGAATGTGTAGCAAGGGTAGAGTAGAATACGCTGCCCCTCTTCATTTGTAGCTGATTTCATCCCATTTTAGAATTAGGTTTTGTGTTATCCGTCTGTCTGTCTGTCTGTCTCTCTCTCTGTCTCTCTCTTTCTCTCTTGCACCCACTCTGTCTGTGTGTCTGTCCATCTGTATGTCCGTCTCTCCTCGCTCTCTCTCTCTCTCTCTCTCTCTCTCTTTCTGTGTATCAATTTTGTCAGTCTATCTGTTTGTATATCTGTCTGTATGTTTCTCTGCCTCTTTCTCTCTCTCAGTCTCTCTTTTATATCATATCTCAGTGTACTGCAGTTATATCCATTTATTTCTCTATGAAATATAACTGCCTCTCTCTCTGTCTTCAAAATCTTCTACCATTGTAATCTAAATCTTTTTCTTTACATCTCTTTTTATCTAGGTCTGTATTATTAGATTTTCCTTTCCTTTTCATTTATTCATTTGTTGTTTGTGTATAGTCATCTTGTCCTTCTTTCTTCCTTTTCTGTATTGCTTTCTATGCAATGTTAATTGTGTAGTATTTTCCTGTTTTCTTTTTCTTTTTTTTAATGTATTTTGTATCCTTGTCTTCATACCACATTGTGAAAAGCCTTTTTTCCCCCCAGCATGTAGCTGTAATCCCTTCAGCCCTTAGCTCCATATGGACTGTAGACATAGATTATTACTCTTAGTGGTTACATACATACATTAAGTTAAAAAATCTATACTCATCATTGATGAATTGTTTTACAAGTGAGAAGCAAGAGTGAGTCTTTAAGTATTCAAGAAAGATGGAAATTAACATTTTATCATTAATTAGTGAAAATACACTCAAACTGTAGGATTAAATCAAGCATAATTGGTTCAGCAATTCTTTTTTTACTAAACAGATTGTGAATACTTTGTAAATGAATAGTATTTCATTTTAAAAGATGCTATTGAACATTTCATTGAAGAAAATAAAACTGCAAATAATACAAATCAATCTTATACTGGTCAGAAAAGGATACTGGACTGGCAAAAAGATTATATTTTCACTGAAAATGTTTCCTCTTTAGTATTGTTTTTCCTGTTGAAATGGTTACTTCCAAATATATGTTCATAGGTAGTTACAGCCTAGTCCCCTGTTTAAATTGAGCATTTAAGAGTATTTTGTAAGAACTATGTACATGTACAGTGTGTCATGCATGGTGTGAAAAGCATGAATATGTTTGTATATACATGATATAAGACTGAACTATGTATTATAACTGTCTGACATGCTAGAAATTTTGTGTGAATTTAAAACAAAATTAGTGACAATGACAGACTGATTTCAGGAGCTGTCTACCAGTGGAGTACCATGCACCCTGCCCCCCCCCCCCCCCCCCCCCATTTAAAAAAAATATGTATTTCAGTTAGTATTATTATAAGTTTATTTCACATGATTAAACAATCACTTGGAAAGAATTGTAACAAATACTTTAATATCTGAGATATAAACCAGGATAATTATTAATGTACCAGTTTATGTAGCTGTTTACATGTAGCTGAAGTCTGATTTTATTTTTGCATGGAATTCTGAATATTATCTTGAGAGAATAATTTCTATTCCACAAATGTATTGCAATATATTTTTATTTTCATAGCAGTAGAACAGTTAGACTGTAATTGTGTTTGAGTAGTCTACACACATTTTTAAGTTAATCATTTTGAATCTAGAGTAGGATTGATATATCATCCATAATCTAACCCATTGTTGGATAATAATGTGTTAAGTGTAAACCTATGCAGTGAGTGAGAATGCCTAATGAACACAATCACAGATGCTCAGTTCATACCTATTTTTACAAGATTGCATTTATTTTCTGATCTGTTTGATCATTTCTATGTGATTCAGGATCATTTTTTTGAAGAAATAACATAATTTTACATACATGTACACCTACTTCTCATAGGATTTATGTGTTTAATACAAGTAAAAATCAAAACCCATTAGGCCATTTTCATAATTGAATCAAATGTAATGCATACTTCTCTTTGAAGTGCCTCGTGTGTATTGAAGCCATGCACCTGTCATGAATAATTATATTTCAAACATTATGGCTTGCCCTACCCAACAATATGTAACGTAAGCAATTCGCATTCTGACTATTGAACTATAATTATTAATAACAGGTGAATTAAATTAAATAATTAATTATGAGGTTCTGCACAAAGATGTATGCATTAAATGTAATTTTACATTACGAAGATGGTCTATTGAAAATTTGGGTGGCCACTGATGAACAGCATTATTTTTAAGCTGCCTTATTGCGTAGTGACTGGTATTAAAACTGAATATTTTTTGACTATGTTGAGTGACAAAGGTTTACATGCATGAAACAAATACATATATGCATGTAAATATTCATATATCTTATTCCTCTGCAGAATTGCCTGCAATGTAAACGTTGATTGTAGTGTCAATTTGCCCGGGACATGTTTGTTTATTTCTCTTGTATATTGATAGCTATATTATTTTTTTAAACAAAAATCGAAGTAAGAAATACCAGTTTTGTAATCTAATCCATTCAAACCCCTCTCATGCAAAATATCAAACATTTGTTTAATGTTATGCTGAAGAACTAATATTCTTTGTCATTTGCAAAGAAGAGAAGCAAAGCTGAACAGCTGGATCATGGTGGCAGAGATGATGGAAAAAGGAACTCTGTACTAACAATAAAGATGATTTTGCATGAAATTATTCTGCAATGTCTTTATATATGGAGTATACATGTAGATGAAGAAATGTGTGTGTTTGTGATGCAAGATTGAAATCTATTATGTCACATCTATATTGTGTGTGGCAGGGATGAATGCACATGACATTGGTGTTTCTGCTCTTATGTATACTTTTGTTACAGAAATATTGCAATGGAACTACAACTTAACATTTTTTTTTATTCATTTTTTAAATAGAGGGAATATTTTTTTTTTAATAGAAGTCATAATGCACAGTGAATATGAGTGACAAGGTCACGATATGTCTGTGAAATTTATTGTTTTTAAAACTTTTTTTACTATATATTTTTGTATTATTATTATTATTCAGAAGTAGGAGTAGTACATGTCGTAGTATGTGTAGCAATAATACAGTAGTTTGGAGAAAAGAGAGAAAGCTTACAAATATACCTACCTACATGTATTACATCAATGATTAGCAGTCTTAGTCAGAAGGGTAGGTTTGGTCTTATACAAAACTGTAACATATATTTATGAGAATCCATGAGGGTTTCATTGACCTAACCAATGTTACACATCTAGATGTAGATATATGTACATGTAGATGGGTTTAGCTTCATTATGATATTTCTCATGTAAAGTTCATGTCATCTTGTAGACTTCAGGGATATTATCTACTAGTCATGCTAACAAAGAGTATTACTTTCACTCTGTAATCCAATACATTCCAGAATCCAGAGAGATTCATTTAATCTGTGTCATTCCTACGCTGTAATACACTACCCTAATCACGTAGAGATCAATTACACGTACAGCATTTATTCATTTATTTCAGTCTTAAGGTCAGTTCTCTCTTTGAAAACTACAAGTTGAATGCCTAATCCTCAGCAAATGTAGGACTAGGGTTTATTTTTCAGACAAAGCCAGAAAATTATTACATCCCAGAATGTTAATTAAGTAAGCTGAAATTTTTTTTCTGATTCTCACTTCTCTGTTTGAATTCAACCTTATCCAAACATTTCATAGGCATTTTGATAGTGAGTAATAAGCAACATGAGGTCGCTGTTAGTTAAGATTTGTCGATACCTTGCGGATCATTTTAGGAGTGGTCCCACCCTTAGTGAGCTAATGATTATAACGGGTCTTGCTGCTGTTGCGTATTGCTGTGTTATCTATTTTCAAAGAAACAAATGGGTAAGAGAAATGATGGAGCTTCAGATTGATAGTGTAATTGTGTCAGTGGTTAGGATGCAACAGATTGCAGCTTGAATTCAGAGGTATTTCTTATAGTTATCAGTGAAGATAGGGATACATTGGATAAAATGAAAGATAGCATGGATTGTATTAGTGTGGTTTGTATACTTCTAGATAAAAACACAGGGTTTTCTGTTACCAGACACAGTCATAGTTTTAATAACAACTTCTTTTGGACTACATGTACATGTGTTAGCAGAAGAGATGGCTCCCAAGGAAAACGTACATGTATGATATATCTTGTATTATTGGTATTGGTATTATTTTTCTCTTCTAATATTTGCATGCTCTCTTTCTTTCTTTCAATGAAATGTTACAATGACAGGTGGCGGAGAGAATCAAGAAGACTGTGCAGGATCTGGGTAATGCTTGCATCGGTTTGATCAAGAATGGAGGCACAGTGCAGTGTAACCCTACCGATAACATGGCTAAGAAGGACCTCATCGATAGTGCTAGGAACACGTGTGAGAAGGTGAGTAGTGCTGCAGATGACACAGAGGGTGCCATAGTTTAATAGTTTATATCTTGATGAATGACAGGTGTCCATCAGAATGTTGAAGGAAAAATTAAATGATGTGAAAATTTGATGAACATGAACCAATTATAGAAACATTTAGAGTCTGTAAGCAGCAAGTCCAAAGTGTAACTGGAAATTGTTTACATAAATTATATATGTATATGTTTTATAAACATTTACAATCATGTTTTCAAACTACATTCTTCATGCAGTTCACATACTCTTCTTTCAAAACATGTTGAAAACTACATGTTGTTAATCGATAAGCATTAATACAATGACTGATCTGACTACCTCAATTGTTTTCAGGGATGAGTTTTACATGTTCACCTTCTCTTACTGTTCTGTTGACAGGCTAACTTTGTGATGGCAGCGTTGCAGGCCGGCTCCCGTGGTACACAGGCTTGTATTGATGCTGCCAGCACAGTGTCAGGTATCATTGGAGATCTTGATACCACCATCATGTTTGCTTCAGCTGGTACGCTGTCTGCTGAACCAGACATTGGTTCCTTTGCTGATCACAGGTGAGTACTAACAATCTTGAAAGATTGCATAACAGTTGTATAGTGAATATCTAGGAACACCCTCTTTATCTTTATCATTTTCTCTTTTTGTCTTCCCTAATGTTATTCTTTGTTCTTATATCATCTCTTTTGTTATTGTTTTTTGTTATCATTCTATCATTTCCTCTTCCTATCTTTCCTTACGATATCCTTTGTTTCTTCCTTCTATCACCTTCTCTTATGTTCTTTGTTTTGAAGTGTGGAAGCTTTGACGTTTCATGAAATGATTAGAGAAAGGACGATTCGTTGTACCGTTCTCGACTCTTAATACTTGTCTGAATTTCTATTTCTCTTTAAAGCCTATCTGCACTAGTTTGTCCCGGAGGTAAACCTCCCTGCATGGTCACTGACAGGTGGTTATCTCATCAAATCAGCTCTCAATAAACATAAGAAAAAAGGGAATCATGGGGGACCAACAGTCACCCCTTAGGCATTGTTTGCTATATAGAGGGCGAAAGTAGCTATAAGTAGTGCAGTAGGGCTTTAACATACTTTTTCAAAAGAGCGCTGTTGATATTGGCACTCATTTTCTTCATTCATTTCTTTCTTTCTGTTGGCTTTCTATTTGTCATAAAAGCCGGTAACATCAGCAATATTTAATTTGTTTCGCTTCTTTGTCTCTCTATTATTTCTGAAGCGTCTGTGATATTGGCATTTATTTTCTTCATTCGTTTATTTCTTTCCATCGGCCAGAATGCAGTGTATTGTAAATATGCTATTTACACTTGTTGTTCGACATTGAGTTCCAAAGTTGCCAGTTGCTGGTACCACATCTGCTTTACAGGGCATTGTGTTCATGAATGTGAAACCAATTGTCTACCCAACGCTACAGGCTTGCCTAACTGTGTGCAAGCTCTGTTGATACAGGGATTAAGTCCTTAACCTTGTATTGACAGAGGAATAAGTTCACCAGCTGATGGGGGAAGGGCCTATTATAGGCCTGCTTTCATCAGCTCGAGATTGCCAAATATCCCGCTATTTGAACTTTCCCGATCGCAAATTATCCAGTAATTTGCGTCTTTATCAGCTTGAAGTTGCAATTAGCAGGATATTTGGTTGAGATAATCATCCCAAGATATCTTAGGCTAGTTTGCAAAATATCCTGCTATTTGTCCGGTGCGTCTTCACCAGCCCGAAGACTAGCACTTTGCGCAAACTCTGAGCAAAATATCTCAAGCTAATTTCTCGATTTGAGTTACCAGTTTTGAAGGTCAAGTCTCGAGCTGATGAAGACACGATTTGTAACTTCAGTATTATTTCCCAAATCAGAAATAGCGGGCTATTTGGCAATCTTGAGCTGGTGACGACAGGCCTTATGATAATGACTATATCAAAGAGCCCAAACTAAAGTCTACGAGACAGTTCACTGATTTTTCTCTAATGGAGAGTTTTCGTCACGATAATGCCTAACTTGGTGTTCATGTGATTTTATATCTAAAATATAAAACAGTTTATTGATGGGATATCATTTAAGGCCAGATGGCCAAATTTCAGATTCTTTTACAATCATAAAAGATTAGATAGTTACATAAATTTATATTGATACATTAATATCAGTAAAATAGCAACATTTTGGACAAAATTTAGTAATTTCATGATCACAGCCTAGTAGAAAGTAGGATTGTCAGTATGTTCATAAACTTGTAGTTTACTTTATTTAACTTGCTAATCTCTTCTTCCATAATCACTTGCAGAGAGAACATCTTGAAGACAGCCCGAGCTCTGGTAGAGGATACCAAAACATTGGTATCTGGAGCAGCAGATAGCCAAGAACAGCTTGCCATCGCTGCTCAGTCTGCTGTTGGTACCATCACACAGCTCGCTGATGTGGTCAAGTTAGGTGCTGCAACCCTTGGTAAGTCATCCCCTCCTTCCCCTCTCCTCCCCCTTTCTAACCCTTTGCATGTTTTGGTTGACCAATGGGTCAAACATTGGACAGCCACAGTCAACATTTTGTCATACATACAGTACAGTGTCTATAGACCATATTCTCTAAGCCAAGTCACGACCAAGGTGGTAAGGCTGTTAATTAGGCCAGAAACCCTCATGTTTTGCCTGGCTCGAATACGAGTCTGTAAATGAAGACCAAATGCTATTCACACGCCTTCCTACTCCGTAGGCTCTGGCAATCTATACGTTCATTTCAAATCTATATTTGTCATTAATATTCTTCTTCTTCTTGATTTGATTGCTATCAGGTGGAGATGATCCAGATGGTCAAGTTCTCCTCATCAATGCTGTTAAAGATGTGGCCTCTGCTCTTGGCGATCTCATTTCATCCACCAAGATGGCTGCCGGCAAGAGCAGTGATGACCCAACAATGTTACCCCTCAAAAACTCAGCCAAGGTAAGTTCATCCTCTCCGCTCAGTGCCTCGACAATTGCTTTGGCAACAAATGATCCAAGCTCTATTTTATAAAAACTATATTGCTCTCATATTTTGATATATTATTGGGGCGTGGAGTTGGACCTCAGGAATTCACTTAGTGTAGGAAAACACCTTGGAGCAAATGTCACACGAGCAAGTGATGTACAACTCTGCGCTCATCACCCAGATATTTGTTTACAACTTTAATTATTCAATATCCATAAGAATGAAAGAGGGGTATGTTCATTTTGTAATAACAAGAATAATGCATCACAATGATTGACAGTAAATAACTTTGGGGAGAGATTATAAATCTTGTACAATTGGTTAATCCTTTAAATAAACCCAAGTATCCTTCCTCAAAAACATGGAAAATGCATGTTGTAGCAAATCAAATCACATCCTATAATTTTTGAGCAGCAGACTTACATGTAGGAAGAGGAAATTATATCATAATTCCATATTGTAGCATTTCCTTTCCACTTAAAAAATGGCAAGAATTACACCACCTCTAATTCAATTTCATCAGTAATTGTGATTCTGATGTTTGACATGAACACGTACATGTACATGTAATTAAATGCTGAATATTTACATGAACACCATTTATATCACCATAGTCTCAGGTTTAATGCAGTCACTATTGTAAATACCACGTATGAACAAATTTATAATAACCTTATTACAACACAAGGTTTTTGAACATGTACTGTATTGTGCATTTAATATGATCATAATTGTCCCTGTTGTGTTGCTTGATATAGATTCATTGTAAATTGGACAATTTTGTTGTTGTATAATGCATAGTGTAAGATTTGAAAATATTTATATCTGATTGTGTTGTGTGATATAGATGATGGTAACCAATGTGACATCTCTGCTCAAGACTGTGAAGAGCGTTGAAGATGAGGCAACACGGGGTACAAGAGCTCTAGAAGCAACCATTGATGCCATCGTTCAAGAAGCTAGAGTAAGTGTCACCTCTACAAAACATAATATAATTTCATTTTTAGAAAGTTTGTATTTGCATAGTATCAGCGACCAATGGTATGAATATCAAAAGGATTGAACTCTTTCAGAATTAACTTTAAACAAATTAAAACAAGACATTGTTATCTGTAAATGAAATAAGAAAACCATAATGGAATGACTACATGTAGGACCTCGTTTTATAAATATTATTAATTGCAAGTTACTGTCACCTATCACTTATGTACATAGATATCGGCCTTGACAATTGACTTCATAATTAGACTTCATAATTAGACTCCTCCCCCCCCCCCCCCAATATTTACCCTTTACTATTTGTTCTTGAGGGAATAGTTGTTCTTGAATCAGATGAACCAAGGCATAGTGAGGTGGCTAGTCATTTGTCTTGTGTTTTTTTGCATTTTGTCCAGTTTCTTTCTAAGCTAGCAAAGTACATACCTTCTTCTCTCCCTTTGTTTTCAGATACTGGACAACCCTGCACCATCAGACTCGCGTGGCACTCCAGAGGACCTCATCCGCAGTACCAAGCAAGTCACCCTGGCTACAGCCAAAGCTGTTGGAGCAGGCAACTCTTGTCGACAAGAAGATGTCATCCAGGCCTCTAATGTCTCCAGGCAGGCCATCTTTGAAATGCTTGACGCCTGCAGGGTAAGATCAGCTTCTTTTTATCAGGGATGAATTTGGGGCAAGTACACATTAAGTATAGAAATAAAATGTTCCCCCCTTATTCAATCCTCCCCTGCAACTTCAGGCTTTAAACCCCAAAGACACATCAAATTGGGGGCATCCCCTCTATATACTAAGTGTATATACTGACTGCAATTGTACTGAGGGAGACAGGAAGTGAAGTTTCTGACTTATTTATTTTCTTTATACTAACATAGTTTTAAAGCTTAAGATTTGAATACATAGTACTATCATGGAAGTCCAAAATATACATAGCAAACAATTCTTGATAAATTTGTCTCATTGTGTCTCCTGTGAAAAAGGGAAAAGAGCATTAGCAAAAAATTACATCTACAGTTGCAACTTTTTGCACCTTTTTTTTGTCCCTAGTCACAGTTTCTCTGTGCTTGTAGTTGTACGCATCACCTGTGAAATGCCAGCAGATTTACACACATGTTCTTTAACATCCATTTGTTTCTGTTGTTGATTCCAGAGGTCAGCACCTATTGCGGAGAATCCTGAGGTTAGGAACCGTACCTTGATGGCTGGTCACCAGTGTGCCGATTCCTTCAGATGTCTGCTGGAACAAGTCCACTCAGTAAGTCATATCATCTTGTGTTCTTCAAACAACCTGGAAAGCTACAAGAAGACAATTATCTGTCTATTTACATTATGTCCAATTGCTTAGGGGCCCTGGAGCAATAAGGGGATTGATCTCGAGACATGGGTTCTCCATACATTTCTTTCTTCAGCTGTTCATCTTAGCTGCTCAACAGACATTATCCGTCCTTTGATTTCTTGCAAAAACAAAATTGTTCCAGAATAGTCATGGAGGGGTTGCATGCTTTTTCTTTTATAAAGATGTATGAAAATATAGAAATGTGTAATATCACTAAATAACTTTTAAGATGTTCCTTTGATGATGATTTGATTGACTTAAGTTGGGTATGACTAAAACAAGCAAGGGGTTGTCTTCAGTTTAATATGAATGTCCTTTGACATAATTTGCATTGATAGTAGCTTCTATATAAGGATGATTATTTTCTTGTAAAGTACAGTTGAGCACAGCAATCGTGTGGAAAGACATAAGTCAATACTAAACTACAGAAAGGAGAGGAGGATGTAACAGAGCATATTTGAAACAGAACATGCACTAGAAGTAATGAAGTGTAATAGATGTTTGTGGTAAGCCAATGTGTGAATACACTTGTTACAGCATTAATCTACGTACATGTATACCAAGCATAGTGATACAGACCAAACCTTGAGTATTTTATTTCATTACATTATCACAAACAGAATATTCAGAAGCCATTACCTGAAGGCAAGCAGAGACTTGTTCAGCATTCTAAGCGTGTAGCACACACCGTCAGTGAGCTTGTTCAACAGGCAGAGCTACTCAAAGGTAAGGCACTTAAGCATTTAAGCAGAGTTGCTAGATGGGCTGGATGAAAATATAATTTTGGGGAAAAAAGGTTTTCAAGAGTACTTGCAAGTCATTTATGTTGCCTTCTCTTTGATTGAGCAAGAAAGATGTTTGATATTTAGCTAGGCTTATTGTTTCTAAAGCCCAGCCCCAAAATACATGATGTTGGGAATACCCAATTTAATGATTTTCACTTAGTAATTTATTTTCAAAGACCTATTTAATGTGAGGAGACTAGTGTTGCTTATTGATTCCTGAGTAAAACAGCTTTGATTACTTTATTAAGCTTGTGTAAGCTTCAGGAAACACATTTGCTCAACATCGCCTCTTATGAATTCTGTATTATGTCTACTAAACTTCTTAATTGCTTCCCTCATTTCATAAGGTAAAAGTTCTTAGACATTAGCCATCCATATTGATTTTTCGGATAGATCATAAGCAACGCACATTTTATGTGCATTTGTGTAACCATTCAATACATCTACATGTACTTTAGAACATCTGTTTGGAGCCAGAAGGGTGTTTACTCACATTACCACATAGTTAGCACCCTTTTAGCTCTTATTAGATGGTGTACATATTCAGAGATTGCTCAATTGAAAAGCTAACCAACGTTTGTCTTTTGTCTATTTGATTGACGGGTAGGTTCTGATTGGGTCAATCCTGATGATCCTAATGTGATTGCTGAGAATGAACTGCTAAGTGCCGCCAATGCCATCGAAGCAGCTGCAAGGAAACTAGCCCTACTGAAACCACGTCAAGGTGCTAGGGTAAGTCTTGTTACATGTTGATCTTTACTAACCCATTGGCTACCGAATGATCACATGCCCATAGGTTTTACTACAGGGACCACCAGGTGCCTGTAGGCAATGGGTTCACAAGATTGTATCCCTGCTCCTTGTAGAAATAAAAAAATGAATGGTGATGGTTCAGTGATGATGGGTTATCCAGTGAGTGGTGTGATGGTGGAAAACAAAAAGCTGCAGTTGTTGTACTTGGTATTGAATGGTAACTGCGCACAACAAAGGTCCTACTTGTATTCACTGAGCTCTGTGTTATAAGATACAGAAATGTGAAGCATATTAGACGTCATAATCAATAAAACTGCCACAGTGTACCACATCATATCTGAATGAGGCTTGATGCTTTCAAATCAAGGCTGAGGAGAGTCATAATAGTGTGCAAAGTAAAGTCTAGTTATGATATTTTCCCTAGGCTTCTGTTTGTTTGTTTGTTTAATTTAAAGCATGAGTCCATGTTGATTTCAGGTTAATGTTGACTTATGCATATGAGCATGTAATGAAGATAACCTGTTAGCGGCATACTCTCTACATCCTACAGGCTAACTCTGTTCGAAGGAAAAACTAATATTATCATAATAATATTATGTCAAGAATCATAGATGATGCAATCCCTTCTCAATTGATTAGGAGATTTAGGAAATGAAATTGATTTTCCCTCGTCCAATATACCTAAATCAATGGTTCAGAGAGTGTGTAGATCTGAACAATTCCAATTCAGTGTATAAGAGTGGCGTCCTATTTTTTTAGTGGTCTTGAAATTAGAATGTGTACAGTAGTTCAAAGAATTGAATGTTTTATGTGCATGTATTATTCTCTGGTTGCAATATTTATCTATTAAGTATATCAGCATTAACATTATAAATGACACAAAATTTCTGAAGTTACAATTATTATTAGTAAAAAGATGACAAATAAAATAAAAATTGAATGTGGTAGGATGACGTTACTAATCTTGGAAAAACAATTTGAAACAAATAAAGACAAGAATTGTGTAAATGATATTATAGTGAATTTTAGATTAGAATATATTTTCTTGCTTCAGACAATTTCCAGTTCTCTAAAGGACAATATTTTAGCAAAACATAAAGATTATTATTTGATTAATTTTAAACACAAAACATGATTAAATCAGTATTAAACAGCATATGCATTTGAAACTGTCAAATATAAATGGTTACCCGGTATCTGTCTTGTAATATGGTAAAGCCATTTTTTTTGGGGGGGGGGGGGGGGGGGGGGGAGAGGGTTATGTTATGAAAATTGATAACCGCCTCTTTGATTCATTGATAGCTCGGTCTAGACATCTCAGTAACCTTTAATTTTCACACTTAGACTGTTTATTTGTTGACTTGTGGTGGCTTAGAGACGAGTGAATTGGTTTCTATCCAATGGTTTTGCATGAGCTGAAACCCACACCCTAATCGGTGTGCCTGGTTCTTATCTGAATTCCTCTGCTCTAGCATGTTTCCTTCCCTAATGCTTATAAGTCTGGAAGTACCGGGAGTCTAGATGTGACTCATGCCTCTTATCCATGTACTGTCAAATAATCAAAACAGCAAGGAAAAAACAAAAATATACCAGCCAATTCGTCATATAATCCATACTCTCACTCATGTTTGTTTAGGGCCAGAAGGGCATTTAATGTACATCAGCTACACAAAATGGTGTATTTTTCTAAATAATTAACAAAAACCTCAAAAAATGCATTTCCCCCCTTTTTCAGTATGATGCAAATCTTGAAAATTCAGATATGGCAGAATTTTAAGTCTAGGAAAGTTGATAAAGGAAGAAACAGAGAAATTTTTCATGAAGCAATTTGTAGTCAACTAAAATACGAGCAAACATACATGGTTGTCCATGCATTTAAGACTCCATGAGTACTGTTATCTTTGCCAATCAAATCCTTTATATCAACATTAGCGGCACAATTTATGTTTTCTACCCAATTATTATGATTAGATTAGATTCGACCAGGTAAGGCATGACAAGGATGCTGATCATTGAATTTTGTTTAGTATACTCATAGTGCTCACCTGTGTCACTAGTTATTTGTCATCGCTGGAACACAGCTTCATTTTCAGGGCAAATTTTGGGGCAAAATCTGAAGAAAAATGTATTCTAATTACTCGCTTTCCCAATCCCTGCACTTTACCCTTTTTTGTTGTTTCTATTAAGATGTACATGAAATCCTTTAAAACAGTATAAACATTAGTTTACATTACATAGTACTGAAATCTCATTACATTTTAGTATAATATAAATCCAATGAATTCCGTTCCACATCTAATGTTAATTGAATTATTAAGCATAGTTTACATGCAGCATGGTGATATTCATCAACCAGTATCCACTTGTTAGTGTTGAGTGTTTATACATGTAGTGGTGGTCATATGGGTATGTTTGTATGATTCAGCAATTTATTTGTATCCTTTAAAGGTACTATGTCCCATTTGCAGGCCAAAAAATGAAAAAGTTAAATTCCAACGGCATTTGAAAAACAATGCTAATCTAAAACTTCCCCTAAAAAAGGGGGGCTTGAAAATGTCTTTAAGTGGGAAAATAACGACCATTAGTTGTCAATTCGACTTAGGAGCTATAGAGCCAGTAAGTAACAGACCATTGTATGGAATGGTCGTATGTTTTATGCTGCACAAAGATTCAATTAGTTTAATTTTGGCCAATACAAGAAGTGGGTTATTGACGTAGAAAAATGCTCCTGTACCCTTTACAGCTCATTTAATGTATGTTATTACGAAACTACGAAAGATGAAGAAAAAAAAGCCAGTCAGTCACTCAAAAGTGTCCCTTGCATAATTTGAATATTAGGACACTGCTAACGTTTAAATTTCACAGATAGGATATACATGACATATTCATAATTCCTGCAAAGTTCTACAGAATTTAATGTTGGCTGCAAAAGGAACATAGTATCTTTAATACTTGGTAAGATTTACAAACTGTATACATGTTTAGTTATTTGATTACAGTAGGTTGGAAGTAAACCTTTTATGGACAGCAACATGTGGTTAAAATGAAACTTGATCAGAAACGAAGGAAGAATAAAAATAGGCTTTAGTGCATTGAGGGCAATATTTTGCTTTTGTGTTTTATCAGACATTGATGTGGAACAACTGTTTGATAACACTAAACAGAAGAAATAGTACAGTATATGGAAGGATCTGAACAAATGGAATTAGCTACATATACCTGTAATATGTTCATGTGTACCTCGTCTCTATTTTCACTTGTTGTTTGTTGATTGTTTGATGTTATGTATTATCTGCACTGTCATTGTTTGTTATGTTGAACATACATACTCACTCATTGCTTGTTTGTTTGTCTGTTTGTCTGTTTGTCTGAAATCCTTTTTTGGCTTATGCCCTTCTCCTCTCACAACCATCTCGGCACATTTCACCCCTTGCTTTGTCACATCAAATCATCTGCACAGTGTGGGGCTTCTGAGGGAACCCCAATGTGGAATAAAGTGTTGCGAGGAGAGGACTTGTTGTTTGTATGTACACATCATCCAGGCATGCCCAAACAATCTCTCTCACTCCCACCCCTACCACATCCTTGCCCCTACCACACCCTAACCCTCACCCCTATCACAAACTCAACCCCCTACCCCTATCACACACTCTAGCCCCTACCCCTATCACACACTCAAGCCCTTACTCCGCTCTCTACCCCCTACCACATCCTCACCCCCTCCCCTCCGACTCCCTCTGACTCCCTCCCATCATTGCTTTAATAGTCCCTTGCATTCATTGTATGAGAACCTTAACAGCCTCTAACATTCCTGGCCATGTTTGGGTATGAATAAGCAGGAAGCTGCCATGATTTATTTCCAGTTGGTGACTATTTATTTTAATACACAATTTGCTAAACACAATCTCTAATTGCATAATTTAGGTACTAGTTTACATCCAGACTCTGTTTAACACCTGCATTTGTAATATGAGCCAGTATAATGATAGGATTTCCAAAATATTAAATGTATCCAATCAAAGTTAGAATCAATTTTAGCAAAGTAATCAAAATCATTTTCTGTTTTTAAAGTATCTTTTCAGAATAGAAGAGGGTACTAAAGCCATTATTATTATCTTTCAATTGAATATTCAAAATAAATGTCCATATGGTTTCCATTAGATAGTGTCTGGTTAAATTTCTGCCATACCAGAGGTACACTAATGGAGGGAAACTCTTTACAAATGCTAGAGGGAAAATATTTATGTGTCCATTTTCACCTATTTTGCATGTAATAGCAGACCCATAGGCATACTGGTATTGCAAAGTTTATTATCTGTGAATAATCTTTCACTACTAAGATTCTTTGATGCAGGAGCCTTAGAAATGTCATGTTCCTTGTGTTTTGCTCCTGTTAATCCAAATAAGAATTTACAATATACATGTATGAGCAAGCTGTTTGTCTAAACTCTATTGAATCCCTAATCAATCTGATAATATTGAGCCTTCGTGCTGTGCATGACTATCTGTATCTCTACTCATTTTGATATCCTCTCCTTTCACTTTTCACATTACAACTTTTTTTTTGTTCTTGTTACATGTTGGTATGTTGGTACATGTATGTTTTTTGTTTTTTTGTAGTGACGTAACAATATGTGCACTTCTCCTCTGCATAATTAAAGTGCCAATTATACAGGCCACACAAGCACATGTACTTGCACGTTTATATATGCACAAACAAATGTTTGGGAACAATGAACTTATAAGATTGATAAACAAAGTTTATTTTTATAGATGTAAATATTTTGTTAGGAATGTCTTGAAATTTTAATTGGTCATGATCATAATTGTTTTTTTTTTTACTTGATAAAAAGTTGTATCTGCTTGTGTTTTTACTACCGTATTCTGATAATAATTTTGTGGGCGATTCCATTTATTTTGTTTATTGTGTTGGAGACTGTTTGTAATGAGTGTTTCTAGGTCAATTGTGTGATTAATGA